CTATGTTTGAAGATTATTATTTTGAAGAAATCCAAACTTAATTACCGTAATGTTACATTTGTGATCAGCTTCAATGGCCAAAGGAGGAATTCTCCGGCTCGAAGCCCGAAACCGTAAAAGAGGCATCACTCCTTTGCCCATCAAGAACATCTCTTTCTTTATTTCGTATTACGTACAAAGCAAGTTTTAGTTATTATTATTGTTACACAATAATATAAATTATATTTTAAAATCTTATGAAAAAACTTAAATTTTTTAATTGCAACAGTTTTTTGATATAATGTTATAATTTGGATGATCAAATGATCACAAGTTTGAACCTCATTACTTTCATTTTTTCTAACTAAAATTAAATAATTAAAATATAAGATAGTGGCAGTACATGCACAAATTTCAAATAAAAAAAAACTTTTCCTTAAAAAAGTATATTAGAGAGTAGTATACATTCTTTTAATGACTATTTGCAAAATTATAGAAATCACTTACAAGTTTGAATATCCGATGAAAACGCATTAGATTTAGGAAAATATTACAAAAACTATCTTTTATATAAAAAATACCCTTAATGACTATTTGAAAAGGATAGATAAATTAAAAACTTACAAAAAATTAAAGAAAGAATTAAAAAAACTTGATTTTTTGGTACATATTAATTTTAATATTTAATTTCTATCAATTTTGTTTTGAGTTTCTTTTTTATTCTTCCTCCAACTTTTAAAATTTTTAATTTAACTACTTTTTTACTAGTAATTAAGGGAATTTTGGGTATAACAAGTCTGTCAAATCTTAAAAATATGAGAGATTCCTGTAATTTTATAATATCTCAAAAGAGTTATTGTAATTTACTCGTGATATTAACATTGTTGTTAAGTTTTATGACGTAATGTATGTTGAAATTTGATTTAATTGCATAGTAAGTATATGCAGTGAGAGTCAATCATGATTAATGTTGGTTTTAAAATAATGTTTTTAATTACCTTTTAAATTTCTATCGTCGAATTCTACTATCATTTATATGAGTTAGCAAATAATAAACAAATAAATTATTTGTATTGGTTGGCGTCTAGAAAATATGATACGTACATCTGTAATTATAAATTAATTTGCAGTCCATACAAGAGTGTCGTCAATAATGCCTCAATTTTCTACAATTTTTGTTGTATAATAAAAAGTGTTTGAGTTTAATTAATTGTATCTTTTAGTAACCCTAGCATTGCTCATCTCGTCTCTTATGTATTACTTCACTTTTCTAAGAAGAAAACTATGGAAATCACATATGAAGCACGTATCATAAAAGCTAGAGTTATGTTTTATTATTCTTTTCAACTTCAAACATATGTTAGTTATATTATTAGATGGGATAAGATGTTTAACTAGATGTGCAGTGTCAAAGTAAATTAAAACTGCTAATATAAACACATTAATACTTTTCAATAAAAAAAAAAAGAATACTTTTTGATCAAGATGGAAAGGAAGACAGTGAGTTTTCGAAGAAATTGCTTTCATGTGAAGGAAAAAGAATGCATCTTTATTGTCAAGACAAATGAAAACAATAAGATAAACTATTACAATTGATAAAGATGGTAATCAAGAACAGGAACAACCTTCAGGGTTTTTAATGAAGAAAAAAATAAAACTAAATATTTTAATAGAATTCTATTTTATCAAAATTTAAAAGTTTAGGGATTGAAATTACTTTGTTATGTTAAATTGACTAGTAGTGATATATAGATGGAAAGAGTAAACTTATTCGTGATTGAAACGTTAATAAGAGAATTGCTTCAATCAAAATCCTAAAAGGAAAAACTAGAATATTCACCTCAAACCTTGGGAAGATAAATTAAATATCCCATAACTTCAATAAAAACATATATTTATGAATTTAGTTGACTTGATTTAATTGAGAGGTCGCTTATTAATGTAGAATAGGCAGCTTAGGAGTATTTGGAATAAGCACACAAAAAAAAAAAAAAAAAAAAAAAAAAAAAAAACCCAAAAAGTCTACCTCCAAGTTTTTTTTTTCAATTTTTCAATACCATTTGAACAGCATATATATGTAACTACAAGATATATTAATTTACGTAAATATTTAATGATGATTTTTCATATTAGTCAACACCTTTATGTATTTGTATTAAATTATATCCAAATGTAGCGTTCCTTATTATATACTCACGTGGATCCAATGTTTTTTTTTTTTTCATTTCCATGTTTAAGGGTATTTTTAAATAGTTTAATAATAAAAATCGAGATTAGATTAATAATAAGATTAGTTAAGACGTATAAGTAAACACAAAAATTTAAAAGAAAATAAAACTATAGCCATACAATTTGTTCATTGTTTCTATAAAGACAACTCTTGACTAAGGAATCTACCTGTGTATTCTCTTTACAAAGAATATAGCTGAATGAAATGACATTCAAATATTTAATTGTGTTGAGTTAATCTAATCTTGTTTTTTATTATTAAAAAACAAATGTGTAAAAGTTTAATTTTAATTGACATATATATATATGCCCTTAAACATGGAATTAACAAAAAAGCATTAAAGAATAACAAAAACATAAGATAAAATATAAATATAAATAAAATAAAAATTAAAGAATAAAAAGGAGATAATAGATAACAATATTAGAGCATCTCCAATGGTGCTCTTTACTTTTAGTTAGCATTTTTAATGTAAATAGAGAGTGCTATTAATTATATAGATTGAAGATTAATATCGTCTCTAATGCTACTCTCTACTTTAACTCTTTATTTTGATAAAATTCATAAAATCTAGAGAGATTATTAGTGAAGAGACGAAACTATTAGTGAAGAGGCTGAGTAGCATAGGAAATAATAATTTTCATTAATGCAATATAAGATAAAGACTTATTTGAACTCTCTAGTATTGGAAAGCTAAATATACTATGTGTCTCAATTTTAAAGATAAAGAATGTGATAAATAGAGCATTGAAGATGAAATTTGGGTCAAACCTCTTTATTATAAAAAAAAATCTTAATATAAAGAGAGTATTGACGATGCTCTTAGGAAGGAAATTTGGGTTATAACATCTATAATGATAAGCACAAAAAACGTGCATCTTAGCTACGCCACAATTAATGTTACCAAGTAACCATATAAATACAAAACCAAACTTGTCTTATTTTAGAAAATTTTGAAAAATACGTGCAAAATAACATTATAGTTGGATTTAATCCAAAATATATATATATATATATATATTTTGTGGAAGGTGATTTTTTACCAATTTTATATATTATCATTAATTAGTATTTATTCAATGTGAAGGCTCTCATACCATGTCAAGTTAAAAAATTGAGATTCGATCCATATAAGAAACTTAAGTTCTAATGTGGATGGTTTTTTTTTTCAAATTTATATATTACTTATTAATTATTTATTTACTCAATATAAGATAAATTTTCTAACACATACATAGATGATCAGCCCAAACATAATATTATAAATTTTTTGTAAATCTAAAATATATTCATAATTTCAAGTTTTAATATTAAAAAAATATAATTAAAAATTGTTAGTTGTTTTAGTTTTAATATATTTTAAGTTTTAAGTTTAGAGTATAGTTAAAAATATAAATATATTTTTGAAATTAAAAATTACTTTTTAGTTTATTAAATAAATTCTATTAAATACGTTTTTTTCATAATGCTACAATCCTAAATATTATTATATCTAATAAACTAAAAATTATTTTAAATTTATTATATAAATTTTATTAAATGTATTTTTTTCATAATGCTACCATCCGAATGATGACCGTAATATACCTATTTGAAACATAATTAAAACATTTAATAGAAATTTGTGTAACTTTTTTCTACTCAATTTTGATGTATGGATAATATTGAAACTTTAGTGTAAAATTAATATAATCATTTAGTGAAGAGTAATAGCGAAAACGTAGGCAAGTATAGGTCAGAAGTAAATTGGTAGTTAACCCTAGCTTTAAGGTCAAAACTCTTTAAGTTTACAGAAGCAAAGCCTACCACGAGCATGTGCTTAACGGATCTTGTGCACTGACCAAAATCATCACTTAATATATTGTTTCCTCTACTGTTTTGCATCAAACCAATTCAAAACGTCTTGGGTGTGACGGTATTGCACATGCTAAGCTCTTCGTTTATTGTGCACAAAACCAGCTCTGCCTTGTCGTTAATTTATTGTTTCTTTGATTTCCACTGTTTAATATTGATTGGAGCATTGGACACAGGTTTTTATGTTATCGTTTCTCTTTATCGGTAGCATTTGTTGGACACGGATCCATGGAAAGCGGCAAATGCATAACATGCATGAACTAAAATATTATATTACAAACCCAAAAGGATTAATTTGACTAAAAATGATTCTAGCAGTTAAATTAAGTCATTTTGAATTTAAATAATTATGTAATTATTGCATATATGAAAAACCTTTTACATGTCAGTTTCTGTCTTGTTTATCAGATATAATAATAAAAGATTAATTTGAATATTTAGCTCTATCACAGAAAGATAAAATTATATATATATAATTGAATGTAAAGGCTAAAATAAGATGTTTTATAAAATAAAAAATATTAAATTAATTATTATCATTAAAAAGATTAAATAATTAATTTTAAAACTAGAAGGATTAATTAATTTATTTATTTATCAAAACATAAGGGACTTATATATAATTTACTCTTTTTAATTGTCAAGTGATAACTTTTTTAAAAAAAAAACACAGACAACTTCAATCCTTTTCTCCCTCTTGAGAATCAGACAACACAGACTAAAGAAACAAGGTCAACAAAGAACTAGCTAAGAAGCTGAGCCCACATGCTCCTAACCCATGCAACCTTATCTTATTCCTTTTCAGCGTTTACAACCCATAAATCTGAATATTTAAGCAGGCTTGCAGAGATCAAGAAGGCACATCTTCTAAACTCTCATCTCACTCGTTTTTCATTTCAATTAGTCGCTGCTTCTGCTCTCCACTCAAAAACACAAAATGGCAGAAGCTTTTGCAGCCGACATTGCAAGATCCCTTTTAGGGAAGCTAGGTTCTTTTGCAGTTCAAGAATTTTGTTTGGCATGGGGACTTGAAGGGGACCTTGAACGTCTTGAAGAGAGATTGTCAGCCATCAATGCAGTTCTGTCAGATGCCGAGAGACAACAGTCACAAAATGACAAGATTCGGCTTTGGCTCCAGAAGCTCAAAGAAGTCTTGTACGATGCAGAGGACGTGCTGGATGAATTTGAGTGTGAAAGTTTGCGAAGGCAGGTGGTGAAATCTGGAGGAAACATCCACAGAAAGGTACGACGCTTCTTTTCAAGTTCTAACATCATTGCATTCCGCTTAAGAATGGGTCACAAAATAAAAGCCCTCATCGACAGACTGGCTGAGATTGCATCTCTTAAGTCTGACTTTAACCTCACCGAGCAGACTATTGATCATAGTCATATATCGAGTGTGGAAACAGAGATCAATTCATTCTTTCAGAATTTTTCTGATCTTATTGGAAGAGACGAAGACAAAGCACGCATCTTCAAGCTCTTAGTAGAACCTTTTAAGGTTGATGATGCACATCCTTTTGTCGTTCCAATAGTTGGAATGGGTGGTTTGGGAAAGACTGCTCTTGCCAAATCGGTGTATGATGAAAGTGCAGATACTGATTTTGAACTGAAAATGATGGCGTGTGTTTCAGATAGCTTTGCATTAAAACAAGTGATAACAAAAATTATTAAATCTGCAACTGGAGAAAAATATCATGATTTGGATGAGGGCGAACTGAAAGAAAAACTTGAGGCAATTTTGAATGGTAGGAAATACTTGCTTGTTTTAGATGATGTTTGGGATGAAGATCCCAAAAAATGGCTCCTATTGAAGTCTGTGTTGTCGAAAGGTGCAACTGGAAGTAAAATTATAATAACTACCCGTAGCAAACGTGTTGCTGAGATTATGGGGACTGTTGAAGCACACGACTTAAGTCTTCTTGATCAAAATGATTGTTTGTCTTTGTTTTGTAAGTGTGCATTTAAGGAAAGACAAATGGAGCTACATCCAAATTTGGTGGAAATTGGAAAAGAAATAGTGAAAAAGTGCAAGCAAATTCCTTTGGCAGTAATTAACTTGGGAACTCAACTGTATGGTAAAACTAATGAAAGAGAGTGGAAATCAATAAGGGATAGTGGAACTTGGGAGGAAAATAAAGATGGTATTTTACCTGCTTTAAAAATAAGTTATCAACGACTGTCAACTCACTTAAAAAGATGCTTTCTTTATTGTTCATTATTCCCAAAAGATTGCAATTTTACCGATACCATTTTGGTGCAATTTTGGATGGCACATGGACTCATTCAATCATCAGATCCAAATGAAAACTTGGAAGATGTTGGCTTGTGCTATATTCGTGAGTTGATCTCAAAATGTTTCTTCCAAGATTTGCAACATGTGATTTTTGCATATCAATTTAAAATGCATGATTTAATGCATGATCTTGCATCGTCATTAGCTCAAAATGAGTGTTCAATCATAACCTCTCAAAACAACCAAATTTTTAAAACCACCCTTCATTTGTCTGTTCTTCACTCTCATTCATTTTTCCATCAACCTCTTCCCAAGTTCCCAAATAAATCAGATCGTGTGCGGACGCTTCTCTTTGCAGATGAACTAGAGGGGCCTAGATGCAAAGCAGATTTTGAGAAATGCTTGACAGAATTTAAGCATTTGCGGTCGTTAGAATTAATGGATGATTGTGAATTGATTCCAGAAAGGATTGGTGCTCTAAAGCATTTGAGATATCTCCATTTGGGTGGGAATTCAAAATTGAAAAGATTACCAAACTCTATTTTCAGATTACAAAATTTGCAAGCTCTACTTCTAGGCCGTGGATTGGAAGAGCTGCCCAAAGATGTGAGGTACATGATCAGCCTTAGATTTTTACTTCTAGTTACTAAGCAACGGCGGTTGCCAGAAGGTGGGATTGGGTGCTTGGAATGCCTTCAATCATTATTCATTGGTGATTGTGAAAATCTCGAATATTTGTGCGAAGATTTGCAAGGTCTTAAAAGCCTTCGAAATTTGACTATTATTTCATGTAAAAGCTTGATCTCTTTGCCACGGAGCATGAAATACCTTGCTGCATTGGAGTTTTTGTGTATTATCGATTGTGAAAAGCTTGATCTGATGACAATGGAGGAAGAGTACGAGGAAGAAATCACACCACTTCCCCTTCAAACTGTAATATTTGCAAGTTTACCAGCAACACTAGCATTACCAAAACAGATTCTTCAAGGATCTGCAGACTCCTTACAAAAATTAACGATTTCAGAATGTCCAAACATTAGAGAATTGCCAGAGTGTGTCGGCAATCTAAATAAACTCCAAATGCTAGTGATCGAGAAATCTCCAAGTCTGAGCAAAAGGTGCACAGGAGAAGATTGGCCCAAGATCGCTCATATTCCTAAAATTGATATTTACGAGCTGGACAGTGATGAAGAAACATCTAATTAGGTACGAATTATCATGATTTTATATTCTCATCACATTTTATCACTTCTTCAATTCCTTTTTCGGTTTAAATTCTCTTTCCCCTTGAGTTTATCCTATATGTTTTTAATGCTTATTCTCATTACTTGCTATGTTTGTATGATTTTTGCAGCTTTCATGTAGATTTCTGCTGACGAAGAATACCCTCAGCAGATTCATTTCCTTCCTCTGTGTGCTTTCGCGTAGTTCCTGCTGGTGATTCATCTTTTCATTGTTTGTTGCTGCTTTGGTTTCTAGTTCGGGTGCCTTGGCCTTGTTTTCGATATTCCTGATGTTTGCTATGCATCATTTGCTAGCCGCATAATTTGCACTCTTGTTGTTGGTCTCTGGTTTGGTTTCTTGTTGTGAGGCCAGTCCTGTTGGCTCAGATCTTCTACAACAGTTGTTACTTGCAGAGATTGGCTTGAGGCTAGATGTGTCTGCTTTGTTTAATTCCTCGTACCTTAATTTTCCTAGCTAGCTGTTTATATCTTTCTTTGTAGCTTTGATTCATTGCTGCCGTGGTGTGAGTTGTAAATAAATTGATGAAGCACATTTGGTTGTTATATATTCCTTCATCAACTTGGCAGATGAAGCACCTTTTTTCTTATCACAGTTCGTATAAATTTAACAGTACTTTAAAATAGACTAGACTACCATAAGGTAAATAATTGTGACAACTGCACAGCATCAGCTTCAGAACAAATTCCATCACCAAAACTGTGTGTGTCCACTGGCCATCTCATTGGAACAACCAATTTCCTGCAGAAGCAATGAAAAAAGGGATGAAAATTTTCCATGAGTGTAAATTGTGTACTTAAAAGGGTTGAAATTATTTTGGGGTTAAAATGTGAAAATTGAAAACTATCTTTGGAAATTAATGCAGTTGACTTATCCCTCCATGCATTCGTCTCCTCTATATAATTCCCAAAAAAGGTTTGAGACTCAGTGCTGGTTTCGGTATATCAGATGATGGTAAAATACTCCAAACCTTCAAAACTTGAACGTAAAATTAATGAATATTCGCAATGAATGTCCACATACAGTCCAAACCAGATGCAGTTTCTCTCTAACTTTGTGCTGTTTCGGTATCTTAATGAAAGCTTATAATATTGTGGCTTGCAACAAATCTTTCTACAATTTCTTAAAATGTTGATTTTCCTAAACTTTGAAGAACATTAGTGAGAAATAATTGATTTTGACAGTTAAAATCACAATTCTAAAAGTTGTGTAGAACTGCAACAATCTACGAATGAAAATTACAACCAAACCTGCCATTTGTACAAGTCGTTGTTGGCTTGAGTATTGACCATTAAACCTGCCCAGTAAACTCAACAGCAAAACATGGTCATTGTCTTGAGTTGCCATAAAATATAAACTCGGAGAGAGGAGAGAGATAGGGAGAGTTATACAAGTGAAGTAAACCCAAATGGTAGAAGAAAAATAAGTTGCCAACAAGATGATTAATTTCTCTCTTTTGGTCTCGAAATTGGACTGTACTACTGTAATATCCTAAACAAAGACAACGGAAAAGAAACAGAAGTACTAAGCCTGAAAAAGAAAGTTTGATAATTTTAGGAGAACCCAGTAAAGGGATCATCGATCAGTTGGGAACCAAATTGAGAAATTATTTTGTTCATGTACCACATTGTAAATCAATAAAATCTGAAATTGGTGGCAAATGCAGAAAGCACAAAGCTTGTGGATTGTTCCCACCTTTGAATTTTTATCTAAATTTTTCATGGGCTAGACTAACATTTCATTAGCTGATCAATTATCGATGGCAAAATTGAAACATTTTTTAAAACTGTAGGATTGATATTGAAAACAATAAACTGTAAGGATAGAAATGGAGCATTAATGAAGCTATAGGGACAAAAGATACTTTGCCCAAAAACTTTTTAGGTACCTAATAGGTACATGTAGGGAACAATTTTGCAAGATAATCAAGTGGTCCATTAAAAATAAATAAATAAGAAGGTAATCAAGAGGCAGTACTTACTAGGTGAAGCAAGGAGAAGCAGAAGAGTTATAAAGTTGAAGGACCAAATGGAATCTTTTTTACATTTCTCTACCTCTCTCTCTCTCTCTCTCTCTCTCTCTCTTGGTTGCAAAGGTTACAATTGAATATATTGAGTGAATTATAAATTAGTCTCTCTTGTCTCAAGAAACAAATTAATTAGTCCTTTAAAAAGAACCTAATCATTTAGTTTTTATGTTTTTAAATTTACTTGTAATTTAGTTTTTTTATTTTTTTATTTATTTTAATTCTTTGTATTAAGAAATGGAAAAAGAAAAAAATACGTAAAGATTGATGAGAAAATAAGATATTTTGTAAAATAAAAATAATATTAAATTAAATATGGTCAATACTGATTAAAAAACTAAATAATAATTTTTTAAATGAGAGGATTAATTAATTTATTTCTTGAACTTAGAGGGACTAATTTATAATTTACTCTGAAGATATCAGGTTAATTATGAAAAAAAACAAATGCATTTTTTATTTGATGTTCAGGGTATCCTCTGTCAGTTTTGACATATGAATATTATATTATTTTCAATTGGGTTTCAAGTAGATTATTTACATTTAATTTTCTTATTAACATTATTTTTTCTTTCCATACTTGGATTAGAAGGGTAAAAGCCTTCTAATCAGAGACAGTGAGCGTGCCCGGGCCTAGCTTGTTGTAATGGGCTATGATCTGATTGCTCTCAACTGGGCTTTTTCAATAGCAAATATTCTCCCTTTGGGCCAAGCTTCAATTCTACTATGCTTGAAGCTTGATGCCATGAAGCATGTACAGTATTTGTGAGCCTATGGCCCAATAGATTGTCTGGCCCAAAATAGGCATTGAAATAACACCGAATTTAGGAAGAAAAATCATCATAAGGAGATGATCGCCATCCCATCTCTGAATCCATTTAATATTTCTAAAATGAAAACATCAACTTTAAATTAATGTCTAGAAACAAGGGGAAAAAAAAAAACATCTTCATTAATTTTAACAACCTTTTTGCAACAGAAGTAGATTTACCTAGGTTGACATTGTGAAAAATATATACGGCTGTAACCATACAACAAGCAAGGAGGACTTCCTTCGGTTCTGTCAGACAGCTGCAACTTCCATTCAAGAACTTATAGACCAACCACATTAATTATAACTTGGCCTTCCCCCCACTAGGCTTTGGTCTCCTTGATGCACCTCTAAATCTATAGTTGTTGGATCTCCAGCGCTGTCTGATATTTTCATAAATATCATGCAAGAATCAGTGATTCGAAGAATGCTACTGACAGAGAGTTAGGTTGAAGCGTAGACAACAAAAAGTTGATCTTTATTTTTTTGTTCTTTCGGAGAAATTCTACATTAAGACTTGTGAAACAGACTGTTCAGAAATTTAGTATTGCATACCTACTAGTTGTTTCTGGAGCTTCTGATTCATCCCTAATAACAAGTGAAGCAAACGGTTGTGATAGAAGTTGTGCAGGATCACCGGAACCCATTGACCATGGTTGTGACAGAAGCTGTGCAGGATCACCGGAACCCATTGGCCATGGTTGTGACAGAAGTTGTGCAGGATCACCGGAACCCATTGGCCATGGTTGTGACAGAAGTTGTGCAGGATCACCGGAACCCATTGGCCATGGTTGTGACAGAAGTTGTGCAGGATCACCGGAACCCATTGGCCATGGTTGTGACAGAAGTTGTGCAGGATCACCGGAACCCATTGGCCATGGTTGTGACAGAAGTTGTGCAGGATCACCGAAACCCATTGACCATGTCATGGGAACAACCAAATTCCTGCCATTAAAAAATGAGAAAGTAAAGATAATTGACTTTTTGTTGCTTCAGGCCAGCAGCCAGTATATGTGAAGTGGAGAATGCCCTATCCCATTCAAGCATCATTTCACACAGCAATGGATATTTAGGCTAATGGTATTCTTTCTTGCAAAGCAAGAGGCAGAGGAGAGGTATCAGGCTTGAGACCTGCCCTTATTTCTTACAAAAGGAAAAAAAATAAAAATTGCAGGTTTTTATGGATTCCTACTGCTGAAGTCAACTTGCTACTGTATAATACCAGAAGAAAGAAGATAGAAAAATGCATACCCTTCTATACATTTGTGTTTGCAGCGATTCATCTTATCCGCGGTATAATTCCTAAAGACAGCATCTAGACGCCTTGCTAGTTTTGGTAAATCAGGTAATGGTAAAATATCCCACACCTTGAGAATTTGAGTGTGGTTTGAGTTTTCCGTGATTATATCCACTGTCCAAATGAGATTGAGCTGGCCATGGACTCTGTATTGTTCTAACAGTTCAGAAGAAGTTCCTCGTCGGAAGATGAAGTTTCTGCCTTTGGGAGACGGACGCCAGCCACTTGAAAGCTTTGCCAACAAAGAAATCACTTCCTGACGAGCCTTATTTCCCACTTTCATAATAGATTTCCGAAAATCGTCACAGAAGCAGAACTTTAATGGAAAAAAGATTTGAGGTGAGAAGTGAGAATCCAGTGACTAGTATTCAGCTTGAGACATACAGTAAGAATTCAGAAATTTGAGAGGCAAGAAATATCAGGCATACATACCTTCCATCTTGCATTTCTGAACAATGGAGAATTCACATTCAACACAGCATCAATTTGGTCCAACTCCAACAAGGCATCCATTATAGCCTTAGACAAGCTTTTATCCTCATCGGCATTATAGAAACACCCCCGTCGCTTAGCGTCAGTAACTAATTTCGTCCAAATAGAGTCACTGTTGAGAAGAGTTGTACCGTTTCCCAATATCCACAGGCAATACCTTCATTAGACATAACATCATACATTGTTATTTGGAATAAAAAATACATACACATGAACATGCCTGCAACACTAATGTTTAACTTCTGGAGTTTGGGAATAATACTTTGCACGGGTCAACGCCACATTTGTTCTTTGGCAATTGGAAAGAAAACCCACTGTTCCATTTGCATTACATCTGACTGTAGAGATAATTATAACATCATCCTCACCGCCTTGAAATCCGTCGACTGACCGGACATTTACAGAAAAGTCACTATGTTCTCTGTAAGTCGTTCCAATTTTTTCTTGAATTGCATGCACTTGAGCCTTGTATGGTGATATGACTCCTACGCTCATCCTCTTTCTTGCACTTTTAAATTCTGCAATGGAAAGAAAAAGAAAGCATTAGCTTTCCCACTCGCCAATCAAAAAGTAAAACCAATAGCTACGGCATATATTTCATTTCCCTAAAAAAATCCACTGGTTTCTGTGATGACTCAAATGCATACCTTTAAAAAGGCTAGCAACTATCTCTGAAACTACAGCAACCTCAACCAAATTTTTCTTGCTCCTGCGGTCATTCATTTGCTCTTTCCCACTGGCTACATTAATAAACGAGTAAGGGCCATACATATTTCCTTGAAGGAATTGTCTCTGATAGTTTCTTTCTTTGACATTTGGAGCATCCCGTATTAGCCCACCATAGAACTGTTCATTTGGGAATAAGCTTATAGATGGATGCATCCTATACTGCATACCCAGAAGGTGTCTCTTGCGATCCAGTATGACCAATCTCTCAAACAAACTCCTCCCAAATTCAGCTTCCTGGGAAATCTGATGAAGGCATGTGACAAAAACATTAGAACTTAGAACTTATAAATTACCTAATAAATGGGGTGCAAGAAAGATGGAACCTCGTCACCTTGCTTTCAACCATGGCAGGAAGTTGGCGCTCGTCGCCTATAAGAACAGCATGGCGAAGACCAGAAAGTTGCAATGGAATGGTCGATTCACATTCTTTAAGCTGGGCAGCTTCATCAATAACCAACAATTCTATCGGCGTCATTCCTTCTATGTGCAGCTTAGCAGAGCTTGAAGCAGTACAGAAAAGCAGACATGCCTTTTTCAAGCAAAACTTTCTGACTGCGTAACTACTGAAGAAATTGGGAACTTCAAATTCTCGAGGAAGTGACTTCAGTAGCTGAATGCATTCCTTTCTTCTAATGGTCAACCATGAAAGTTGAGCAGCGCTGTTTCCTTCAATTGCAAAATCATTTAGGGCTTGCTTTGAACCTTCATCTCCAGCAGTAACAACGTTCAACGAGCGTTGTAGGCAGTTGAGCGAATCAAGAGCTCCAATCATGTTCTTCACTACTTCTAATGAAATGATAGATGTTGGCAAGTGCGTATACAAACCTACAATTAACAGGTCCAGCGCCTCAGAAAGGATTTTGAACTCTTTCTTTACGAATTCCGCGAACGGGAGTATATCTTCCTTGTCTTCCTGGCCATCTTTATCTCCCGTTCCCTCACACTTTGCAAGCTTCTCTTGCGGAGAAGAAACCTTTCGTTTCTGTTTATCCATTTTCTTGTTGTCTTTCAAGTTCTGCAAAACAACTTTCTTCAGAGCCTTCCTGCTGTTCCTGCCCCTCTGGTTTTGATCATTGACCTTTTCATCTTTCTCTTTGGATCTGTTCCTCTCTTGAATTTCAAGCATTCTACCATCCTGATCCTTCCCCTCCTCATTCTCTTTTTTCATGTTTTCCAAGTACCGATTGTACCGCTGCTCAGGATCTTCAAGCAAAGTTATCAATGAGTCTACAGTGCGCTTCCACCCAGTCGACGGGGAAAAGCAATGATAAAGTACTTCAATACGATGGTCAAGAAATATATTTTCAAGATCATCATTCTCAGAGATCTCCATTCGCTCCCCGTTCCCAAATAGAATTATATCCCCGAGTCCATACGTGTCGTATTCGGGAGAGTCTGTAACTAGTCTTAGGAGTCTCGATGTCACTTCTAACACAGCAGTATTGGTTGGAGCACATGTAAGTGTCCTGCACTTCAATTTAAGCAGACTAAACAATAATAAACCAACCGTCTTTGTCTTTCCTGTACCCGGAGGACCCCAAATTAGCTTGACAGTACTTTGATGTTGGCATTCACTCAGACCAATGCAGCTGACAATTGCATCTTCCTGCGAGACATTTAAATTGGAAAAGCCGATTATGGTTTCTTCCATACCATAAAGTGTAGCATTTCTACTCACTTCAGATAAGCAGTGAGGACAATTCTGGACATCCTGCAGCAGCAACAGACACAACATTCAATTAGACAAGAGAACTATTAGAATATAGCTAAAACTTCCACATATTAAGAAAAATGAATCACCCTTCTTACAGTTGAATTAGTTTGAAGCACATTCTGGATGATGTTCATGTTCCCTCCTTCAAGCTCAAAGTGCAGTGATCTCCATATGCGAATATTTGTTGTCATGTTTGTTAGGTAAACGACGAATACATTGGCTCCGCTGTTCTTTCGCATTCTTTGTCCGTCTTCTAATCCAAATTCAATGGGTTTGGATGTGAGAATTGACAATATTGCATGATCCTCGTCGTCATCTTCGCCTTCATCTAGCCTTTTCCGTAGCCTATGAACATATGCAAGAAGAAAGTTTATCCCTGGCCTTTCCAAATCATACGTGTCTTTCGGTCTTACATCTGTCAAAGCAAGGAGATCTCCAACCTCAGGCTTATATATTCTTCTCTCATTCCCATTGTTTCTAACTTCTTTCAACCAGACCTTATAAAACAAGTCTTTTGGAGGTTTATGCAGCTTTTTTATTTTTTCAATTGACAAGATCTCTCTTACTGGTGCTTGGGAGACCATTTCTATGTTTGAGCATAAGTCCGCACGAGTTTCCTCGATTAGCGCAGGAATGAATGTCTTCATGTAACGTGTCATTGACGTGAATGTCTTTGGTATCTTCTTCACCTGTTGGGTGAGCAGTTTAGTCTCATAGACATCAAATGCTAGAAAACAGGAAAAGAAAAGGCATATTCGAAAGAGCAAGAAATAATTGAGCATTCTTGCCGTTGGACAGGACATAATTGGCTTGTAACAGTATTGAACTGCAATTTCCAGTTTCTGTCAATTATTCTTAAGTCCGTTCTAAAGATTACAAAGAGATAAAAAGAAATCACTACTGTAAATGAACCTCAGAGATGAAATAACTATGTTTTACTAACCAATGGATGCTTAGCTTATTAATTGCTCTCACCTTTTCAAAGATGGTGAAAGGGTTCGAGTCCCAAGTTCAAGTAAAGATAACCTTGTTTCAGCAAAATCATCATGTCACGATTTCACTAATCAACTTGCCAAATTTAATCATTAAAAATAGAACTTACACAGACTATGCTGCCCATTAAACAACCAGACTTTGACCAAAAAAAAAAAAACCATCTCACAAATGAAAAAGGTAAGTAAATCATACACATTAACATAAACATAATAGTATGCATGCAAACCTGGTCTCTGTACAGATATTTGGAAAATACATCCTTGATAGACCAAGAGAACACGAAATCTACTAAGCTTCTACCAGCAACTACTTCTTCGGCCATCTTCTCCATCGTTTCACCTCTCCAATCAGCTTCTGTAAAATCAATAAGGAAAAAGAAAAAACCTCGTGAACTTTTAAAGAAATGATGAAACAACAGATTTCTTATTAATGAAGCAAGCAACCCAACAGTAAGACTAGTACAGATATTTACCTTGTGATAATGCTTCTTTAATTTTTCTATAGCCACCAAAAATCCAAATATATAAAAAGAAATGGACGTACAATGATTTAAGGAAAATGGGCCAGCTATTCCTTAAGACAGATGGAAAGAACACAGTGACTTACTAGTCAAACGAAAGTAAACTAAAGTACGCAATATTACAAGTTTAATTTCGTCTGTAAGGAAACTACAAACTCTAGTGTTTTCCATTGCTTGCTTTAGATATTGCTTTTTTCCAACTTTTTTTTATTAAGGTTTTTTTTTTCTAACTTTTCAAAGCAAGACTTTAACATAAAGATCTATGTTTGCTTCGTTTGGTTGCATTATTTAAAGTTATAGCACAGGGAAAAGGAGAGGAATCAAGAGAGAAAACTTTCATACAAGGAAACCAAAGGACTTTTCCTGGTTATCATGACTCATGACGAAGACAAAAGTGTTCTTATTCCAATGTATTTTCCTTCGTCGTGACAACATTGATTATTTGGTAGAGGAAAGCATAGGAATGTATGCGCACGTTAAGATTTACGATGATGCTTTGAATTTCTGTTCCTTCCCTAGGTACACATAATTTCTTCCCGCATATGTTCGTGATGTGATCGTTTTTGTTGGATTGAGCTATCAGGACTGCCTTTAGCTGGTTGGAACAAGAGTGTTTCAGCGTGTTGGATTGAAGGGAATAAGATAAAACACTTTACTAGAAAAAGGAATATCACAGCAATCTGAGAGCCTGCCTCTCTCGCAGAAAATAATGTCATCCCCACAATTACTCAGATTCTCTCATGGTCCCCTCCCTATGTCAATACTAACCTATATTAAAAAAAAAAAATTATTATTTATTATACTTCATCAAGAAAGCAGCCCAGTCCAACCTTGCAGCTACTGCCCTTGCTCAAGCCTGACCCACTTCTTCCAGAGTCAGCCCATCCTCCTTCAGCCTTGCACCTGCTTTCCCTTTCCTCCTATACACCAACCTCACCGCAGGCCTAGCAGAATACTGCTCAAATTGTGAATCCTGAAAAATCTAAAGTACTCATCTCTACAAGATGCAGAGACAAAGTATATTCAAACTTTGCTAAGACCTCGTTTTTTTGTTGGATTGAAGGGAATGAATTTTCCATTGGATTACATGAAAATGTAGTGTCTGATTTTCCAGATTTCAAATCAGTGTATTTGAACTTTACAATTCCAGAAATCTCTCGCTGAAAGTATATTAAAGAAATATTTTTAATAATACACAAATCTAAATATAAAACACTTATTTATTATACTTCATCAAGAAAAAAATTAGTCTGGCCTTGCTCTTTAGCCAACCTAGGAAGAGATTAGTCTCGAAGTACATAGAAACTGACATTTTGCACATGATTCAAACCCTCCAAATGAGAAATGCACCTATAAGGTAAGAACTACACACTATTGCAAGACAGGAAGAGAACTGTCCAGTAAAGAAATGATGCACATAATCCTAGCACCTCAAATGGAAAGGATGGATTTCTTTGCAAAATTGCTCGTGGAACATCACTTCAACTCATCGGACACATCTTTCGTCCTTTCAGACGGATTGAGCCAGTAAAACTGTTTTAAAATGCATCCATTTTTTTAGAGTGATTCATAGCCCATCTCCGAAATAAAAGCTGTATCACATGTAAACCAGTTTTTACAGTCTACCCAAATGGCAAATATCCATATCTAAACAGGCAATCTATATCCAAAATGCAGCGATTCTATTCTGGATAACGTGAATGGAAGCCATCAATAATTAGTATTCACTCCAGATGGGCCGCTTGTAACCCAACCAATCATATACAGGAATTCCACCAGCCTATGTGAGGAAACTATTAAGCTGAATAACATGTAGCAGAGTTCATCAGATTTACATGCAATAAGTCCACAATAAAATACAATAAGATGGACAATTCCTGTCATCCCAACTGGTCAAAACCATTGCTTCTTATATGAAGAAGTGGCACCAAATTGCGTAGCATTGCGCCTTGCATTACTTGAATTACCCACGAAATTACCACCAAAATTTCTATTCCGAAAGGGAGAAACTGCAGCCCTCCTTGCAGCCTCGGAAGTTAAAGGAAAATGGTTCCCATGGAAATTTGACCTTCTTTGAGCCAAGGCACCCTGATTACCAAATTTGAAGCAAATAGAGAACAACAACAGCAACGAGGTCGATAAAAATAGGCAAAATATATTAAAACTTAATGTGTGTTAGCAACAGCAATTCCATACCTCCCGAACCAAGGGCCTCGAGTCCATATAACGCCGAACCCTTAAAGCTTTTTCATGAGCAGGGTTGTTAAACATTTTCTGGTTTTTTATCTGTCCGAATTAAAAGAAATCATCAATCATGTCTAGAAAATCTAAACAAAGAGACAAAAGGCGTTCCGACGAAAGAAAAGCACCCTACCGGATCCCTTAGCTGCTTCCTTGGTTTGGTTGTATTTTTAGACGTTTTGATGCTGTCATCTAGAAAATGAACACCAAACAACAGAAAAATATCAATATCCAGAAGCAGAGAGGGAAACAATCAAGTTCAATCACTAAACGGCAGATTTGCATACCTAATGACATGTCCAATCTCTTTTCCCTATTAGCAATTTCTTCACGAGAAAGTGGTTTGGTAGCCATCTACGTAAAATAATAGCAAAATGCTAGTGGTTCATCAACCGGATATAGTGTTGCAACATCAAGAAATAATAAAAATCAAGCATATCATGTCAAACTCTTCAGAGTAGCTAAATTAGACATAGCATTGAGGTTTGGTATTCTAATTGCTAGGAGCAGCAGCCGCTTTGCTAGACGGGAGAGGAACGGTTTCAAATTACACAAATTGATAATAAAAATCTAAAATTGTCAAACTACAATAAAATAGGGGCAATTTTTGCCTAAAAAACGAGAAATAGCACAGGGTTGTCCTTGTGCTATTAGTTCGGAGAATAACAGTCAGCTAGGAAATAATGAGCATACCTTCCATCTTGCGTTCTGGAACAATAGAGAGTCAGTTTGTAGCAAAACATCATGTTGGCAAAGCTCAATCAAAGAAGATGTAATAGCCTGAGCCAAATTCTTGTCCTCTTCAGCATTATAGAAGCACTGCCGATCCTTGGCATCATTCACTAAATTCTTCCAAACAGAGTCACTCCTAACTAAACTTGCTGCATTTCCCAATATCCAAAGGCAATGCCTACACGGCGAAACCAAAATTTGTAATTTCAAAATAAACTAAATTAAGGGAAAAAAAACAGATAAAAAAAGAATATTTTGAGTTATTGATGTTTTCTGTTCTCAATACCTTGCACGAGTCAGTGCCACATTCGCTCGTTGACGATTGGAAACAAAGCCCACTGATCCTTTATCATTGCTTCGAACAGTAGAGATAATTATCACATCCTCCTCGCAACCTTGAAAACCATCAACAGCACGAACTTTTACGGAGAAGTCACTGTGAGAATCTGAAATGTGTTTCCAAATCTTCTCTTGAATTGCGGAAACTTGAGCCGTGTATGGTGAAATGACACCGACACTAACCTTCTTCTTCGTGCCAAGGAATTCTGTAACATCGAAATTAAGTAACAAAAGTCTTCAGATCAATATTTAAACAGAAAACATCTCACAAAATTACCTAGCCACAATTATTTTTTAAGTCATACCGTTGAAAAGGCTCCTAACTATTTCAGCAACAACAGCAACCTCAACCAAATTTCTACAGCTCCGATGCTGATCAAAATCTTCTTTTCCATGGGCTATATTTATAAAAGAATAGGATCCAAACATGTTTCCTTTGAGGAACTCTCTCCTGTAACCAGTTTCTGTCACATTTGGCCCATCCAAAATCTGCCTGCCGTAGAACTCTGTATTGGGGAATAAGCTTATTGATGGATGCATTCGATATTGAATGTTGAGAAGGTATTTCTGGCACCCTAACTTTATCAACCTCTCAAACAAACTTCTACCCAACCCAGCCTCCTCAGAAATCTAAAAATAGTACATTTTCAAATACATTCAGTTATGAGAAACTAAAAGCTTTAGATGATATGGGAAAACAAATGAATAGAATTTAATACCTTGCTATTAACCATTGCAGGCAATTGCCGGTCGTCTCCTACGAGAATAGCATGGGTAAGACCAGGGAGTTGTAAGGGAATGGTTGATTCACATTCCTTGAGCTGAGCAGCCTCATCGATAACTAAGAAACGCAGAGGTGACCAGGGAGTTGTAAGGGAATGCAGTTGGGCAGATGCTGACACAGTACAGAAAATCAGGCGTGCATTCGTCAGGCAAAACTTCTTTATGGCAAATCTACTTTCGAGACATGGAACAGAGAATGTTGGTGGAAGTAATCTCGTTAGTGTATTGAGACAGTCTTTTACAACATTCCGCAGCTGTACATGGTTGTCAAATCTGCTTCCCACATCCTTGCATTCCTTATGAGTCTGCTTTGATCGTTTTCTGGCAACACTGACTTTGTGCAATAAAATTTCAAGAGATTCCATTAAATCAAGAGCTCTGATCATGTCCTTCATCACTACTAATGGAATAAAAGAAGTTGGTAAGTGAGTGTACAAATTTACAATACAGAACTTCAATGTCTCTCCAGTGGATATGAATTGCCATAAATATTCCCCAAATGTCGAAGGAACACGTCTTGCCTTCTCTTTCTTCGTATTTTTGTTTTCTCTTAAGGCTTGTATACCAACTTCCTTTTTTTTTTCCCAAATTTTCTGGCTTCTCTTGTCTGTACTTTTTTTATTGTATTTCTCTTCCTCCCTTTCTTGAATTGTATTTATCTTCTCATCATTTTCATCCTCTTCATTGTCATCCTTTCCACTGTTATCCTGCAACAACAAACGGAACTTCTCTTCCATACATTCCAGCAACCATATCATGGATGCCAAAGTAGAATCCCAACCATAAGGGCCGAAACACCTCACAAGTATGTCAACACGATTGTCCAGAAATACATGAAGAAGGTCATTCTGATCATAAATCTTCATTCTCGTATGATCCCCAAATAGGACTATATCTCCCATCCCATAGCCTTCATATCCATATAAGTCTACCGCTGATCTCAGAACACGGCCTGCCACTTCCAACACCGCTATGTTGGTCGGGGCACATGCAAGTGTCCTGCATTTCATTCTTAATAGAGAATATAGCAAGAAACCTAGAGTCTTTGTTTTCCCAGTTCCTGGAGGACCCCATATTAATTTGACAGTAGGTTGATGACAGCATCCGATATTGTGAATACAGCTTAAAACCGCAGCTTCTTGCGAGTCATTCAGACTAAAAGATGGTAATAGGTCCCTTACGCACGAAGAGTCAACTCCACCATTTTCACTAGAAGAGCAGAGAGCACAATTCTCAACATGCTGCAAGAAGCAAATATGAGAGGCATATTGGGTGTGAATGCGTCCACAAAAAAAACAATTATGACACGTAGGATAGGGATGGATTTACATGTCTAAGACCTTGAAAGAACAAAACAGTATTATGTGATGAAGTATGAACATGAACGAGGATGACAAGTAAGGTGTTTTCTACAATGGTATATAGTTCAGCATTTCAGCCAAAGGCATTATAGGTACATAGGTAGAATTCAAAATATATGTTGAACAAGAAATGAAATCAGAATCTTACAGTGAAATTATTTTGCAGCACTTTCTCAATAATATTCATGTTCTTTCCTTCTAGTCTGGAATTCAACGCATTCCATATACGCAAATTTGTCGTCAGATTTATCAAATGAACAGCAAAGCATCCTGTTTGTTTCATTCTCAAGCCTTCTTCACCCTCTATTGGCTTTGAGGATTGTATTGAGAAACATCCTTTATGTACAGCATCAACAAAAGCAACAAGATAGGATTGCTGGGGATTGATTAGATCATAAAAGCATTTTGGTTTCACGTTTGTTAGGGCAATAAGATCTCCAACCCTAGGCACATATCCCCTTCTGGTGCTTTCCACCATGATTTCGCAAAACAAGTTATTTGGAAAGCAGTATTTATGTTGCCTAAACATAAATAATATTTTACGTGTTGGTGCACCAGCCAGCGATTCTACACTTGAAAGCAAATCAGCATGTATTTCCTCAAGCAAGGGGGAAATGAATGCCTTCTTGTAATGAGTTGTTGACGTAAACGATTCTGGTATTTTCTCTACCTGTTAAGAGATCAAAATAAAAGTCAAGCGTATAATGTGGCTTCAAAAAATCTTCCTACAGTTTCATAAAATGTTAATATTCCTCAACTTAATTTGAAGAACAATTTGAAGTGGTAAGAAAAGATTGATTTTGACTGTGATTTACATGAAAAGGCTATTCCAAAATTACAATCCTAAAAGTTGTGTACATGCAGCTGCAGCAGTAGCACAGTGTCAATGAAAGCTTATATTATTGTGGCTTGCTTAACATAAGCATAATAGCATCATAGCATGCACGCAAACCTGGTTTTCGTAAAGATCTTTCTTAAGTACATCCCTGATAGACCAAGAGAACACCAAATCTTCTAATCTTTTACCAGCAACTTCTTCTTCGGCTGTCTTCATCAAATCTACTAAGCTTTTACCAGCAACTTCTTCTTCGGCTGTCTTCTCCATCGTTTCACCTGTCTAGTTAGCTTCTGTAAAATCAATAAGGAAAAAGAAAAACCTCCTGAACTTTTAAAGAAATGATGAAACGACAGATTTCTCACGAGTGAAGCAAGCAACCCAACAGTAAGACCAGTACAGATATCTACCGAGTGATAATGCTTCTTTTTCTATAGCCACCAAAAATCCAAATACATGAAAAGAAATGGACGTACAATGATTTAAGGAAAATGGGCCAGCGATTCGTGAAGACATATGGAAAGAACACATTGACTTACTAGTCAAACAAAAGTAAACTAAAGTAAGCAATATTACAAGTTAATTTGGTCTATATGGAAACCACAAAGTCTAGTGTTTTCCATTGCTTGCTTTAGATATTGCTTTTTTCCAACTTTTAAAAGCAAGACTTTAACTTCAAGATCTCTGTTCGCTTCATTTGCTTGCATTATTTAAAGTTATAGCACAGGGAAAAGGAGACGAATCAAGAGAGGAAACTTTCATACAAGGAAACCAAAGGACTTTTCCTGCTTATCATGAATCATGAAGTAGACAAAAGTATCCTTATTCCAACGTATTTTCCTTTGTTGTGACAACATTGATTATTTGATAGAGGAAAGGACAGGAACGTATGCGTACTTTACGATTTACGATGATGCTTTAAATTTCTGTTCCTTCCCTAGGTACACATAATTTCTTCCCCCAGATGTTCATGATGTTCCTTATGATCGTTTTTTTTTTTGGATTGAGCTATCAGGACTACCTTTAGCTGGTTGGAACAAGAGTGTTTCAGTGTGTTGGATTGAAGGGAATACTGCTCAAATTGTGAATCCTGAAAAAGCTGAAGTACTCATCTCTACAAGATGCAGAGACAAAGTATGTTCAAACTTTGCTAAGACCTCGTTTTTGTTGGATTGAAGGGAATGAATTTTCCATTGGATTACATGAAATTATAGTGTCTGATTTTCCAGATTTCAAATCAGTATATTCGAACTTTACAATTCCAGAAATGTCGATCTCATGGAGAAGACGATGACTTGGCTGAAGTAAACAGAGAGATAGAGAGAGCTTTAGGCAGTGAGAAAGGAAAGAAGAGCTTGAAAGTTGAAAAGACTGCTCTTTTGGTCCAAGCACTCGTTTAAAAGTATGGGAAGATTTTTTGGTTTTCTTTAATTTGATGTGATCTATCGTAGTCAGTCCTAACCACCAAGTAGATACTAAATCTTGATGATCATCTTCAATGGATTTTGACAAAATATTGTGTCAAATAATTATATTCATGATTTACAGCTTAAAGAAGTTAACATTGCTTGACTGATAAGAAATGTTTGTTAATTTTCCCTGAACTTAATTCGAAGAATAATTTGCTGCTAAATGAATCAAACTTCTCCCAAATTTTAGTTCATTTGGAAATCAATTCCTAAATTTCTAACTTCTGATTTGACCTCTGTATTTTTTCAGATTCGTTCATCCTATGATTTTCAGTTGTCATCTCTTTCTCTAAAAAAATTCAATTCTTGATATTTTGAGCTGAAATTTTTCACACGTATTGGAAAAAATCCAATCCATTTTCTTGATGTTTGTTCACAAAGGAGAGTAGATTTGTTGAATGATGAGCCTAAATTAAAATTAGGTTTTCTTTTTCTATTTTTCTAAAATATGCAATATAAGATGTGATGTTGAGAGAGTCAAGCATGGATCCTACATCAATAAAACCATCCCTGTAGTTGACAAATTCAAGCTTAGTTTAATGTAAAATGAGACTTCTCATTCATGAGTTTCAATGGCTTAAATGAAATACAAGGTTCCTATGAATAACAATAAAGTAAGAATCCAAGAACTATGAAACTGGCATCCATTTCCTTGCCCTTCAAGAACATCATCTACTTCCTTATATCTGTATACTGTCTGGGAACAAACTGCTGCTCTTAAGGCCTGCAGGGCAATTGCACCGATCGTGCTGCTTTCTATTAAAAAACAGAAAGGCCAATGCTACATCCATTTGACGCCATCATATAGAGGGTACCAAAAGTTCGCTGCTGCAACCTGCGTATATCAAAGTATAAAGCCTGAAAGCTGCACTGTAGGTATAACCTGAAAGTTTGCTCCTTTTTTTTTTTTTTTTTTTTTTTTGAGGGCTTTTTTCCAACTTTTCAAAGCATGACGTTAACATCAAGATCTCTGTTTGCTTCATTTGCTTCATTTGCTTGCATTATTTAAAGTTATAGCACAGGGAAAAGGAGAGGAATCAAGAGAGGAAACTTTCATACAAGGAAACCAAAGAACTTTTCCGAGTAATCATGATTCATAGTAGACAAAAGTATCTTTATTCCTTTGTATTTTCCTTTGTTGAGACAACATTGATTATTTGGTAGAGGAAAGGATAGGAATGTATGCTTGCGTTACAATTTACGATGATTCTTTAAATTTCTGTTCCTTTCCTAGGCACACATAATTTCTTCCCACAGATGTACGAAAATAGAAGATAAAAAAGCCAATGCTATATCCATTTGATGCCATCATATAGAGGGTACCAAAGGTTTGCTGCTGCAACCTGCATGTATCAACATCCTGATAAGCATAAAGCTTGAAAGCTGCACTGTAGGTATAATCTGGTTCTTGGATGAGGAAAAAATCTTACCTATATTATTCATCGTGCATCGTCGTCAACTCGGCAGATGTAATCTGATGGCTTTACATTTACTGATTCCTTTTCAGCTTCCATTGTTTTTCTTATCACAGTTAGTATAAATTTATCAGTACTTTAAAGTAGACTACCATAAATATGCAAAGGTTACATATGCACACACACATCGAGAGAAAATCAATGATTTTTCATGAACCAGTAATGTTACGTACTTGATTTATCCTTGAGGCTGAGTAATGTCAATAATTTTGAAAACTGCACAACATCAGCTTCAGAACAGCTTGCATCACTGAAACTATTTGTCTCCACTGGCCATCTCATAGGAACAACCAATTTCCTGCAGAAGCAACGAAAAAACTGAAAAATTTTCCATCTGTGGAGTTTGCGTACTTAAAAATGTGAAAATCATTTTGGGGTTAAAATGTGTAAAATATTCTTGGAATTATGTAGTTGACTTACCCCTCCTTGCATTTATATAAGCAGCAATTCATCAGCTCCTCTGTATAATTCCTAAATAAGGTGTCGAGATTCATGGCTAGTTTCGGTATATCAGACGATGGTAAAATACCCCAAACCTGCAAAACTTGAAGGTAAAATGAATTTTCGCAATGAATGTCCACAGTCCAAACCAGATGCAGTTGCTCTCCAACTTTGTGCTGTTCTAACAGTGGACCACAAATTCCTTTATGAACAATTTGGTTTCTCTTCTTGCGAGACGGACGCCAACCATTTGAAAGCTTTGCTAATAGGGAAAGCACTTCCTTACAAATTCCAACTTTCCTAACTCTTGCCATAGATCTCCGAAAATCATTGCTAAAACAAACCTGTATCAAAAGGCAGGTAACCATTAATTAATAGTTGGCACTGAAGTATGACATTGCTGTTTACAAAGAAGCAGTAGAATATCTGTTCTGAGCAGCTAGGAAAATAATGAGCATACCTTCCATCTTGCGTTCTGGAACAATAGAGAGTCAGTTTGTAGCAAAACATCATGTTGGCCAAGCTCAATCAAAGAAGCTGTAATAGCCTGAGCCAAATTCTTGTCCTCGTCGGCATTATGGAAGCATTGCCGATCCTTGGCATCATTCACTAACTTCTTCCAAATAGAGTCACTCCTAACTAAACTTGCTGCATTTCCCAATATCCAAAGGCAATGCCTACACAGCGAAACCAAACTTTTTAATTTCAAAACAAACTAAATTAAGGAAAAAAAACAGATAAAAGAGAATATTTTGAGTAATTGATGTTTTCTGTTCTCAATACCTTGCACGAGTCAGTGCCACATTCGCTCGTTGACGATTGGAAACAAAGCCCACTGATCCTTTATCATTGCTTCGAACAGTAGAGATAATTATTACATCCTCCTCACCACCTTGAAAACCATCAACAGCACGAACATTTACGGAGAAGTCACTGTGAGAATCTGAAATGCCTTTCCCAATCTTCTCTTGAATTGCGGAAACTTGAGCTGCATATGGTGAAATGACACCGACGCTAACCTTCTTCTTCGCGGCAAGGAATTCTGTAACATCGAAATTAAGCAACAAAATTCTTCAAATCAATATTTAAACAGAAAACATCTCACACAACTACCTCGACACAATTATTTTCAAGGCATACCTTTGAAAAGGCTCCCAACTATTTCAGCAACAACAGCAACCTCAACAAAATTTATACAGCTCCGATGCTCATCAAAATCTTCTTTTCCATGGGCTATATTTATAAAAGAATAGGATCCAAACATTTTTCCTTTGAGGAACTCTCTCCTGTAACCAGTTTCTGTCACATTTGGCCCATCCAAAATCCGTCTGCCATAGAACTCTGTGTTGGGAAATAAGCTTATTGATGGATGCATTCGATATTGAATGTTGAGAAGGTGTTTCTTGCACCCTATCTTTATCAACCTCTCAAACAAACTTCTACCGAATCGAGCCTTCTCAGAAATCTGAAAATAGTGCATGTTCAAATACTTTCAGTTATGTGGAAGTAAAAGCTTTTTGATGATATGGAAAACAAGCGAATATAATTTTAAAACCTTGCTATTAACCATTGCAGGCAATTGTCGCTCGTCTCCAATGAGAATAGCATGGAGAAGACCAGGGAGTTGTAAAGGAATAGTTGATTCACATTCCTTGAGCTGAGCAGCCTCATCGATAACTAAGAAACGCAGAGGTGCCAGTCCTTTTATATGCAGTTTGGCAGAGGATGACACAGTACAGAAAATCAAGCATGCATTTGTCAGGCAAAACTTCTTTATGGCAAATCTACTTTTGAGACGTGGAAGAGCGAATGTTTGTGGAAGTAATCTCAGTCTATTGAGACAGTCTTTTACAACATTCCAAAGCTGCATATGGTTGTCAAATCTGCTTCCCACATCCTTGCATTCCTTACGAGCCTGCTTTGATTGTTTAGTGGCAACACTGAATCTGTGCAATAAAATTTCAAGAGATTCCACCAAATCAAGAGCTCTCATCATGTTCTTCATCACTTCTAATGGAATGAAAGAAGTTGGTAAGTGACTGTACAAATTTACAATACAGAACTTTAATCTCTCACTGGTGGATTTGAATCTTCTCCTTAAAGATTTCCCATATGTCAAAGGATCACATCTTGCCTTCTGTTTCTTCCTATTTTCGTTTTCTTTTAAGGCTTGTACATCAGCTTTCTCAATTTCCTTCCAAATTTTCTTGCTTCTCGTCTCCGTATTGCTTTGATTGTTTTTCTTTTCCTCCCTTTCTTGAATTGTATTTATCTTCTCATCATCTTCATCCTCTTCATTGTCATCCTGCAACCACAAACGGAACTGCTCTTCCATATGTTCCAGCAATGATATCATGGATTCTAAACTAGAATCCCAACCAGAAGGGCCGAAACACCTAACAAGTATGTTAACACGATTGTCCAGAAATACATGAAGAAGTTCATTATGATCTTCAATCGTCATTCTCTTCTGATTCCCAAATAGGACTATATCTCCCATCCCATAGCCTTCATATCCATATAAGTCTACCGCTGAACTCAGAACACGGCCTGCCACTTCCAACACTGCAATGTTGGTCGGGGCACATGTAAGTGTCCTGCATTTCATTCTTAATAGAGTATATAGCAAGAAACCAACGGTCTTTGTTTTCCCAGTTCCGGGAGGACCCCATATTAATTTGACAGTAGGTTGATGACAGCATCCCATGGTGTGAATACAGCTTAAAACCGCAGCTTCTTGCGAGTCATTTAGACTAAAAGATGGTAATGTGTCCCTTATGCATGAAGAGGCAACGCCGCTATTTTCACCAGAAGAGCAGAGAGTACAATTCTCAACATGCTGCAAGAAGCAAAACAATTATGACACGTAGAATCGGGATTGATTTACATGTATAAGACCTTGAAAGAAACAAAACAATAGTATGTGATGAAGACTGAACATAAACAGGGATGAAAAGTAAGGTGTTCTGCATTTCAGCCAAAAACATCATAGGTACTTAGGTAGAGTTCAAAATGCATGTGGAACGAGAAATGAAATCAGAATCTTACAGTGAAATTATTTTGCAGCACTTTCTCAATAATGTTCATGTTCTTTCCTTCTAGTTCCGAGTTCAACGCATTCCATATACGCAAATTTGTCGTCAGATTTATCAAACGAACAGCAAAGAGTACTGTTTCTTTCATCCTCGAGCCTTCTTCATCCTCGATTGGCTTTGAGGATAGTATTGACAAATTTCCTCCATTTGCAGCATGAACAAAAGCAACAAGATAGGATTGCTGTGGATTGATTAGATCATAAAAGCATTTTGGTTTCACATTTGTTAGCGCAATAAGATCTCCAACCCAAGGCACATATCCCCTCCAAGATCTTTCCACTGTGATTTTGTAAAACAAGTCATTTGTTGCTGGATTATAGCTCTTAGGTTTCCTCACAGATAATATTTTACATCTTGGTGCACCAGCCAGTGATTCTGTGCTTGAAAACAAATCAGCATGTGTTTCCTCAAGCAGAGGGGGAATGAATGACTTCATGTAATGAGCTTTTGACATAAATGATTCTGGTATTTTCTCTACCTGTTAAGAGATTAAAATTTAAAAATCAAGGTTATAACAGACAATCTCAAGCAAGAAATCTAGAAGAATAAAGGGTCTCAATCAAACCAAAAAAGAAAGTCTCAATCAAAAAAATTCAAAAGAGTCCAAAATGTTGGGAAAACCCTGCAAGTAATCTTTCTACAGTTTTTTTTTTAAATGTTGATTTTCGTAAACTTTGAAGAACATTGGTGAGAAATAATTGATTTTGACAGTGAAAATCACAAAACAAAAAGTTGTGTAGAACAACAACAAAATATGAAATAAAATTGCAACCAAACCTGGTTTCTGTAGAAACCTTTGTTGAGCACATCTTGAACAGACCAAGCAAACACCACATTTATTAATTCTCTACCAGGAAGCTTTTCCTTCTTGACATGACACTCTCTCTTGGCCATTGTTTCGCCTTTCTGACCTGAGATATTGACTATCAAACCTGCCCTATAAAAACACAACAGCAAAATTTGGTCATTGTCATGAGTTGCAATAAAATAGAAACTCAAATAAAGAGAAAGAGAGACAGAGAGAGCTTACCAGTTAAGTAAACCCAAATGGTAGAAGAAAAATATGTTGCCAACAAGATGATGAATTTTTCTCTTTTGATATCAAAGCAGATTAAAGGAGCAAGGCAATAAAGTGGTATGGAGTAGCAGTAGGTAAAGGAAGGAAGGCAGAGGAAGAGAACTTAGGCAGGAAGGAAGAAAAGAATAGCTTCAAAGTTGAAGATACTGACATTTTCGTACATGCACTAGTTTAAAAGTACGTACGGGAAGATAAATGGATGACTATTGGTTTTCTTTAATTTTTATTTTTTTTTATATATAATTAAATGTTTGCACAAATTTTGAGTTGAGGGATAGGATCGCCATTGAAATTTAGCAAGTTTAACCTATAGGTTCTATGCTCAGTTATTATCTGTATTTAGTTAGTTTTTCTAACGAAGTAAGTTTTGAGTTTTAATATATATATATATATATATATATTGTGTGTGTGTGTGTGTAGAGGAGGAAAGCTACCTCCCTTTGTGTAACTTAAAAAAATCCATGACCTTTGATGAATAATTTTTTTTTTTAATTTCAATTTTGTTTCTTTCTTATTGTATTTAATGAAATTTCACAAATTTTAAAAAATTTTTTTTTTTTTTGGTATTTAGGAAATATAATCGAGTACTTTATACTTACCGACATTAAATATCACAGACTTATGCTAGTTTTTTTACCTATGTTATATTGCGGGTCGGATAGATCATATAAAAATTATTTTTAAAAAATTATTTTAGTTTAATGTCTTGTATTATATTATTCATCTATCAAAATATATCAAATTAAAATTTAATAAAAAATAATTTAATTTTTTAATCAAAATTTTATATTTGTCTAATTATTCTTTATATTTTCATAATTTTTTTATTAAAAAATATTATTTATTTATCTCAATCTATATTTTTAGATAAAAACTTATTTTATAAATTATTTTTTAAAACATTTTTTTCCTTAAAATTTTTAATTAAAAAATCAGAGGAAAAAAACGAAGACTAAAGTGAGCAAAATAAAACAAAAAAAGAGACCAAAATAAAATAAAAAATTTTATGGGCTGAAAAATAATAGTTTTTTAAAAAATATTAAAATATAAAATCACGAAAACTTTCATAATAAATGTTATTAAAAAGTTTTAAAACTACAAAAAAAAAATTGCATAATGAAAGGAACAACGCATATGAATCTATGTAAACATTACATATGAGGCTGAATGAATAATATTTAAAATAGTAAACTAACGTTTTTGTTTAGTTTTTTTTATAATAATTATTCTCAAAAAAGACATTTTAACTGATTAGATCCCTCAATTAATTTTCAAGGTTCCTCCACTTGCCTTTAATGTTGGTTTAATATAAATTATTTTTTGAAATTCAAGTATTAAGTCTTTTAATTTTTAATTTATCTTTTTAAAATAATCAATGTGATACACATAATTGGTCTTAAATTGATCTTAAATTATCAAAAAATAGTTCAAAATACCTATAAATACTCAAATAATCTTCCTCGATGGATTTTGATGATGAAAATATTGAGAGAAAAATATAATTATTTTCATGATTTTTTTTTCAGCTTAGAGAAATTAGTAGTGGTTGGCTGGCATGAAATATTTATGCAATTTCTAAGTCTGTTAATTTGAAGAACAATTTGCAGCGTTGAAAAATAACATGATTTTTTCATTACGAGTTGGACTTATTGAGTTTTCTTTATACGACAGCGTTTTCTATGATAGGAATCAAAAATGACCCCAATTCGATTTTGAAAGCCCTAATTCACTTTCTTCTTTCTCTATGGTTACTTCGCTTCTCTCCAAGTTCTTCACCTTCCTTCATCCCCTGTTCCTGTATCAAAATGCCTACCTCCTCCTCCTCGACCTCCGGCTCGACCTCAGATTCCACCACCGCCGCCGCCACCGCCGCCGCCACAGCCCCTGCCACCTCATCTTTCCAGAAAACAGTTAATTACTAATCACCGTTTTCTTTTACTACTACTTTTACACTACAATGCTGATGATTTCTCCTAATGCCCAATTTTCTTTGTTGTTTTGTAAAAAAAGGTGTCATTACATGACTGGTGGTTGATCAAAGCCGAGAAGAAGCTCCAAGGGAAGAGGATTGCTGTTGCCGGCTTAACTTCTCCAGAGTAATTTTTTATTTTTACTATTTATTATCTTTTATTTCTTTGTAAATAAATTTTTTTATTTAAAATTTTCAGGAAAATACCAGTTCGTGTGTTTCACTCTGCAGCAATTACCAAAAGACACGATGTTTTCACTGTTGAGACAGCCGATGGCTTCACTGTAATTATCCAAGGTTACATTAACAGGAAGCTCACTGTTGAAAATGGGTTTTCCTCACAGGTTTTTTTTTAACCCTTATTTTCGTTAGTGTTTGTTTATATTATTTGTTTTTTGACATCGGATCATACATTAAGTTTATATTCTGTTTGGTTACACGCTCTAAATAGGTTTTGCGGCATTTCTGTTTTGGCTTTCCTCCTGATTGGGAAGAATGTGCAACAAAGTTGATGAATACTAACTGTGAAAACGAGGCGGAGCCTCCAGTATCTCAAAAAGAATGCCATCCTAGTTTCTCGGCCATGCCAGTGGAAGATGGTGTTAATAATTTGAAGAATGTTGCCTCCAAGAACCTTCCACCACTATCAAGTTGCCATATAAATGCTGTAAGTTGGACGAAAGATAGCATGGTGATACCAGCCGAACCTTCTAGTCACCATTTGGCACTATCTTCTGGAAAGATAGATGTTTTAGAAGGCAGCAAGAAAAGCAAAATGAGGTCCTTTGGAAAGTCAATGGCCAAAAGGTCAGCTAGTTTAGAAAGAATTGGCATCAAGAATGATGCATCAGGGGAATACTCTGTATGTGGAGATTCTAATGCATCAGCGGCATACTCAGTACACACAGATAATGATGAGGACAGTATCGCTACATCCACCGTTGACCAGACACCTTCTGTTGGAACCTCAGTTGCGGTGCTGGCAATGAACTCAAAAGAGTTAAAGAGTGCAAAGGAAAATGAAGGAAACAAGGATTCACTGGAGAGTAGAAGTAATTTCTCAACACGATTTTTCACTCCAGGCCCTCAGGCTATGGTAGGATGTATTGATGATGATACTACAGAAGGACCAACACCAGGAGATTCCAATAATTTAAATCAGTCTGCAAATTGTCTTGTGGGAACCTCTATGTTCTCCAGCATGCAGTCAGGCATTAGTCCATCCATGGTAGAAACAGATACAATGAATGCTAATCTGAGTGATTCTGGACGTAGAAAAAGCACAACCTCTTTGACGAATATGATAACTATCCAGATACAGAAATCTGTCTCTGGAAATTCAGTGAAGGACAAAGCTAAAGAGTTGATATCAGATGAAGGTAAACTGAAGAGAAATTCAGGCAGAACGCTTCGCTCCTCGGGTAAAGTGGACATAGCAGAGGCAATGCTTAGAGCTTCAAGACCATGGAAAGAATTGTCAGGAAATTCAAGAAGTAAAGAGAAGATAGAGACGATAGCTGTTGAGAAAGGAGGTTCATCCACAAAGCAAGCTAGAAGGAAAGGTGTTTTTGATGCCGATGTAAGATATTCCAAATTTTTCATGGTAGTTTAGTGTGTGCCTTACTTATGTGCAAGTCCTCAATATTTAGTTTTAATGTCCTGCCATTCTTAAATCATAACCAGTTACAACTGGTCTAACTTTATGTTTTGTCATTGTCACCTTAAAGATGATTGTTCCCCCAAGAATTCTAGTGAATTCCTTATAAGTTTCTGATGTTTCCCTTCTCGCATCACTTGAAAAATGTTATCAAATGCAATGGTAGACATCTTGGTAGTTTTAGCTTCTGCCAGTCTAATGTATCCTAATAAAGCTGAGATTTTGTAATTTATGTGTGGTTACCTTTTTGTTTAAATCTTTATTTAAGTTGGACTTAAATATCACCCTTTTTGGTAATCGAACCTGCTATTACCAGCTCTAAGTTGATACAGCTTCCTATGATATGTTTTTTTCCATTTGCACTTAAAAAGTCTGCCACAAGTTTGTCTTTATTTTTGGACTCTCTGTTACTCTTTAGATGTGTGTCTATTACAAATGCTCTTTTTAATTTGTCTGCTCTGGTAAATTCTTGTACTCAGATAAGAAAAGTGAAGACATTTATTCGTTCTTCAGAATCCTTGAGTCTTAAACGATCAAGATCAGGTTAGTTTGCTGTTGTCTTGTAGCTTATTCCTGGTTTATGAAGTTTTATATATGGAACATTTCAGAAACATGACATTTTCATGGCCTTTAGTACGCAAAGATTGGTTTTGTGATTTGAGGAAATCAAAATGAGATGTGTTGTTGTTTATATTTTGGTCAAAGCTATTTCTAGAACTTTTGAACTGTTTTTAGATGGCCATTTCTGAGATCATGGTTTTCCCCATGTTTAATAAACTCAGTGATGGATGTTATATTTTGTTAATATATGTTTTCTGTAATACGAATAACTGTTTAATCAATTTGTATATGTTGCAGGGAGACTACTTTTACCTGCCCTAGATTTCTGGCGCAACCAAATTCCAGTTTATGATGAGGTTAGTAGTATATCTGATATATTCAAATTTATGCATTCTTCAGATTGTGACAGCATGTGCCCAGGCTTAGCAAACACTGTCCATTAGTTTAACACAAATGGTCTGCTCCAATGAAGTCCACTAAGGATGTTAAAGTCTGATTTGCAGACATTGTTTTTTTGCATTTAACTCTTAGAGAAAGGATTGAATAGGGTAAATTTGGGACAGATTGAAAAAATTAATTCTTTGACTCTTCAAAATAGACATCTCTTGGGACAGACATGGTGAACATGATGAAAACGCTTTGGTAGTATTAGTCTGCATCCGGTTTGATAGTGCAGTTCTCATTTATGATACAGTCATTCACATTGCACACATATTGGAGCATTGTATATCTGGTAAACATGCAGAATTTGTTGAGCTTTTACAAGTAGGGTTTGCTTGGCCAAACGTTACGTGTGAAACAAAGCTGTAAAGAGCTATATGAATTCATCTACAGGATTTGACTACACAAGAACTGATGTTGTAGGCTTGTGAGATTCATGTTAAGGGGTGAGTGGCTGATGGTGATTGCATGCATGGATGTTTCACATATCTTGTCATTTCAATTTAGAAACACATTTCTTTTATTATATGGTTCCTGTCTTATTTTCGTTACCTATATCTGTCCCTTCTCATAGTTTCCTAATGCTCCTTAAATCAATGTGTACTGGACCTCATTAAATGACGAATCTTTCGGAAGGTGCACTTCTAACAAGTTTTCTTTCTGTCACTGCTCCCTTTTTTACCCCCTTTGGTTTTATAAGGATGATGATACATTAATTTCCTTTTGTTTCAGAACCGTAATATCACTGGAGTTCAAGAAGAGTTGGGTGCAGTTGAACCATCTAGAGGTTGGTCTTTTATTTAACTACGGCAAAATTGGCGCTTTCAATGCAAATGAAAACAAACCCGAAATTTTTAGTAGTAATAAGGTGGAAGTAACGTTTGGTCGATCGAACAGTATATTGTTTTTTTCTTTATCTGAACGATTCAAGCACATGCCAGTTAAGTGGTTATCATGAATCCACTGCTTTCCTACTTGAGCATTTTCTACTGCGTATTGGATTCGAGTTTCATCCTAACAAGTCTGTAGGGATTATCTTTGTCTCTATTTGTTCCATTCAGTTGGTTGAACTTGGTTTTTGAATTGTATGCACTTCACTGCTCATCATATGGTATACTTTGTTCCCAGGGATTGAATCTAAAACTCAGAAGAGCAAAGGAAAGTCTGCTTGAGTTTCAGTGACAACAGTAGATAAAAATACAGTTGCCTTGATCTCGGGCCAATCAGTAATCACCATGGAGCAAAATCAAGTGGGGAAATCTGGTGTTTTGCAAGGGGAGGAGCGAAAGCGTATGGAAAGATGGTGATGATGGGAAACAAAGGGCTAAAGAGGGATTGAGTTGGTCTCTTCAGAATTGGCAGTAGCATAGCATCTGATCTAGGATCTTATTTTTGCCACATGCAACCGTTTCTCATGTTTTCCTACTCCCAAACATCTGTCTCACGATCCTAGGTTTCGTGAAAATCCGATCCAATGCATAGAAGAATTATTTAATTTTTATATTTTCAAATTTTTGTTATAACTTTTTTTTGTTCTTTTTCAATTTTTTTAAATAGAAAAACATATAAATAAAAATAATATGGAAGAATTGATGAGAAAAGATTTTTTTTTTTTAAATAGAGTAATATTAAATTAAGCATAGCCGACACTAATTAAGATATTAAATAATTAGTTTTTAAAATAAAGAGATTAATTAAATTTTTTTTTCAAAAATAGAGGGATTAAATTTATCATTTACTCAAAACTAATCTGAAAATTCATTTGATTTCAATTTATTTTAATTTTTTTTAAAAAAAGTAGAAATAAATAAATAAAAATAATATGGAAGAATTGATTGGAAAAGATTTTTTTAATAAAGTAATATTAAATTAAATATATTCAATATTGATTAAAATATTAAATAACTAATTTTTCAAATACAAGAGATTCATTAATTTGTTTAAAAAAAAAAGGAGAGGGATTAAAATTATAATTTACTCAAACTAATCTGAAAATTCCATTTAATTTCAATTTATTTTAATTTTTTTGTTTTAAAAAATAAAAATAACGAGGAATAATTTATGAGAAAATATTTTTTTTAAATGAAGTAATATTAAACTAAATACCGTCAACATTAATTAAGGAATTAAATAATTAGTTGTTAAAATAAAATAAATTATTTATTTTTCAAAAAGACAGGGATTAAATTTATAATTTACTCAAAACTAATCTGAAAATTCCGTTTGACTGTAATATATATATATATTATAAAGTTGTTTGAAATATATTGTGTTTTTTTTATCTGTTAGACCCTCACTTATCAAATGACGAGCCTTTTTTGGGGCCCATCAGTATATTTTAGAGGAAGCCCATCTTGAGCCCAAATTGATGTGCAAACATTGGCAAGATATATATGCTGAAAATCAAAATGACTTTGAATTTTGCATGTCATGTAGATGAGTAGAGAACTAGAGATGGAGTTTATATATCTATTAATTAGCATTAGGGTATATCTGTAAAATTAACAAATTATAAAACACAATAAAAATAGAAAAATTAAATATATTAGTTTTAGAACATGAGAAATGCTAAGGCTGAGAAATTTTAAAAGAAAATTATTCCTTTTCATTTCAAATTAGAGCACTTCTATCCTTTTTTTTTTTTTTTCTAAACAAGTCCTCCTATCTAACGTTCCTTTCAACAGGATGATTATACATTTTATTCGATCACAAATAATTATTTTCATGATTTTTTCACTGCTTAAAGAAATTAGTAGTGGTTGGCTAGCAAGAAATATCTATGCAATTTCTAAATATGTTGATTTGAAGAACAATTTGTAGTTAGGAGTGAGCATAATTTTGGTTAACCAAAAAACCGAACCGAATTATGTATTTCAATTCGATTTTAAATTTAAATCTGTAAAATTAAAAATCGAATTGAAATACTGAAATTATTTCAATTTGGTCTGTTTTTGAGAAAAAATTCGATTTCTAACGAAATTCGAATATATTATGACAAGATTAGGGATTTATAAAAATTTTATTTCCAACACCTAGTTTAAGATTTAAATTATGATAGTTAAGAAAGAAGCATAAACTTTATTAGTCCAACCCATATACTAAAAAATAAAAAACCTCTAAATATTAACTCAATCCATATTTAGAATTTACCAATTAAAAAAAAAACAATTGTTTCGATTGAAACCCAATTTTTAAAAAACCGAACCGAAATAATTCGATTTCAAACCGAACTTATCAAATTCATTTTAGTTTAATTTTGATTTTTAATTTTTATTAATTTAATTAATTTTAAAAACTAAATTAAATTTATACAAAACCGAACCTTATAACTGCTTGCTTAACCTTATTTGCAGCAGTGAAAAATAACATGATTTTTACATTAATTCTATCTTCAATACACGCGGGACTTATTGAGTGTTCTTTATACGACAGCGTTTTCCACGATACGGATCATAAAAGACCCCAGTTGGATTTTGAAATCCGTAATTCTCTTTCTTCTTTCTCTACGGTTACTTCACTTCTCTCTAAGTTCTTCACCTTCTTTCATCCCCTGTTCCTCTATCAAAATGCCTACCTCCTCCTCCTCCTCGACCTCCGCCGCCGCCACCAAAGCCACTGCCACCTCATCTTTCCAGAAAACAGTTAATTACTAATCACTGTTTTCTTTTACTGCTGCTCTTACAGTACAATGCTGATGATTTCTCCTAATGCCCAATTTTCTTTGTTGTTTTGTAACAAAAAGGTGTCATTACATGACTGGTGGTTGATCAAAGCCGAGAAGGAGCTCCAAGGGAAGAGGATTGCTGTTGCCGGCTTAACCTCTCCAGAGTAATTTTTTATTTTTATTATTTATTGTCTTTTATTTCTTTGTGAATAAATTTTTTATATAAAATTTTCAGGAAAATACCAGTTCGCGTGTTTCACTCTGCAGCAATTACCAAAAGATATGATGCTTTCACTCTTGAGACAGCCGATGGCTTCACTGTAATTATCCAAGGTTACATTAACAGGAAGCTCACTGTTGAAAATGGGTTTTCCTCACAGGTTTTTTTTCATTTTTTTATTTTTTTAATCCCTTATTTTCTTTCGTGTTTGTTAATATTATTTGTTTTTTGGCATCGTATGATACATTAAGTTTATATTCTGTTTGGTTACGCACTCTAAATAGGTTTTGCGGCATTTCTGTTTTGGCTTTCCTCCTGATTGGAAAGAACGTGCAACAAAGTTCATGGATAGTAACTGTGAAAACGAGGCGGAGCCTCCGGTATCTCAAAAAGAATGCCATCCTAGTTTCTCGGCCATGCCAGTGGAAGATGGTGTTAATAATTTGAAGAATGATGCCTCCAAGAACCTTCCACCACTATCAAGTTGCCATATAAATGCTGTAAATTGGACGAAAGACAGCATGATGATACCAGCAGAACCTTCTAGTCACCATGTGGCTCGATCTTCTGAAAAGATAGATGTTTTAGAAAGCAGAAAGAAAAGCAAAATGAGGTCCTTTGGAAAGTCAGTGGCCAAAAGGTCAGCTAGTTTAGAAAGAATCGGCATCAAGAATGATGCATCAGGGGAATACTCTGCATGTGGAGATTCTAATGCACCAGCGGCATACTCAGTACCCACAGATTATGATGAGGACAGTATTGCTACATCCTCCGTTGACCAGACACTGTCTGTTGGACCTTCAGGTCCGGTGCTGGCAATGACCTCAAAAGAGTTAAAGAATGCAAAGAAAAAGCTAAAGGAAAATGAAGAAAGCAAGGATTCACTGAAGAGTAGAAGTAATTTCTCAACACGATTTTTTACTCAAGGCCCTCAGGCTATGGTAAGATGTATTGATGATGATACTACAGAAGGACCAACTCCAGGAGATTCCAATAATTTAAATCAATCTGCAAATTGTCTTGTGGGAACATCTGTTTTCTCCAGCATGCAGTCAGGCGCAGAAGCCAATATCATTAGACCATCCATGGTAGAAAGAGATACAATGAATGCTAATCTGAGTGATTCTGGACGTAGAAAAAGCACAACCTCTTTGACGAATATGATAAATATCCAGAGACAGAACTCTGTCTCTGGAAATTCAGTGAAGGACAAAGCCAAAGAGTTGATGTCAGATGAAGGTAAACTGAAGAGAAATTCAGGCTCAACTCTTCGCTCCTCGCTTAAAGTGGACATAGCAGAGGCAATGCTTAGAGCTTCAAGACCATTGGAAGAATGTTCAAAAAATTCAAGAAGTAAAGAGACGAAAGAAATGGTAGCTTTTGAGAAAGGAGGCTCGTCCACAAGGCAAGCTAGAAGGAAACTTGTTTTTTATGCTGATGTAAGATATTGCGAATTTTTCATGGTAGTTTAGTGTGTGCCTTCGTTATGTGCAAATCCTCAACATTTAGTTTTAATGTCCTGCCATTCTTAAATCATAGCCAGTTACAAATGGTCCAAATTTATGTTTTATCTTTGCCACCTTAGAGATGATCGTTCCCCAAAGAATTCTGGTGAATTCCTTGTAAGTTTCTGATGTTTCCCTTCTTGCATCTCTTGAAAAAATTTCTCAAATGCAGTGATAAACATCTTGGTAGTTTTAGCATCTGCCAGTCTAATATATCGTAATGAAGGCTGAGATTTGTAATTTATGTGTGGGTACCTTTTTGCTTAAATCTTTATTTAAATTGGACTTAAATATCACCCTTTTTGGTAATCGAACCTGCTATTACCAGCTCTAAGTTGATACAGCTTCCAATGATATGTTTTTTCCATTTGCACTTAAAAAGTCTGCCACAAGTTTGTCTTTATTTTTGTACCCTCTGTTACTCTTTAGATGTGTGTCTATACAAATGCTCTTTTTAATTTGTCTGCTCTGGTAAATTCTTGCACCCAGATAAGAAAAGTGAAGACATGTATTCGTTCTTCAGAATCCTTGAGTCTTAAACGATCAAGATCAGGTTAGTTTGCTGTTGTCTTGTAGCTTATTCCTGGTTTATGAAGTTTTATATATGGAATATTTCAGAAACATGACATTTTCATGGCCTTTATTACACAAAGATTGGTTTTGTGATTTCAGGAAATCAAAATGAGATGTTTTGTTGTTTATATTTTGGTCAAAGCTATTTGTCGAACTTTTGAACTGTTTTTAGATGGCCATTTCTGAGATCATGGTTTTCCCCATGTTTGATAAACTCAGTTATGGATGTTATATTTTGTTAATATATGTTTTCTGTAATATGAATAAGAAACTGTTTAATCATTTTGTATATGTAGCAGGGAGACTACTTTTACCTGCCCTAGATTTCTGGCGCAACCAAATTCCAGTTTATGATGAGGTTAGTAGTATATCTGATATATTCAAATTTATGCATTCTTCAGATTGTGACAGCATGTGCCCAGGCTAAGCAAACACTGTCCGTTAGTTTAACACAAATGGTCTGCTCCAATGAAGTCCACTAAGGATGCTAAAGTCTGATTTGCAGACATTGTTTTTTTTGCATTTAACTCTTAGAGAAAGGATTGAATAGGGTAAATTTGGGACAGATATGAAAAAATTAATTCTTTGACTCTTCAAAATAGACATTTCTTGGGACAGACATGGTGAAAATGATGGAAACGCTTTGGGAGTATTAGTCTCCATCTGGTTTGTTACACATGCAGTTCTCATTTATGATACAGTCATTGACATTGCACATGTATCGGAACATTGTCTATCTGGTAAACATGCAGACTTTGTTGAGCTTTCACAAGTAGGGTTCACTTGATCAAAAGTTACGTGTGAAACAAAGCTGTGATGAACAATATGAATTCATCTAAAGGATTTGACTATACAAGAACTGATGTTGTAGGATTGTGAGATTCATGTTAAGGGGCGAGTGGCTGGAGGTGATTGCATGCTTGAATGCTTCACATTTCTTTTCATTTCAATTTAGAAACGCATGTCTTTTTTTATATGGTTCCTGTCTTGTTTTTCGTTACCTATGTCTGTCCCTTCTCATAGTTTCCAAATCTATGTGTGTTGGACCTCACTAAATGACGAATCTTTAGGAAGGTGCACTTCTAACAAGTTTTCTTCCAGTCGCTGCTCCCTTTTTTACCCCTTCGGTTTTATAAGGATGATGATACATTAATTTCCTTTTGTTTCAGAACCGTAATATCACTGGAGTTCAAGAAGAGTTGGGTGCAGTCGAACCATCTAGAGGTTGGTCTTTTTATTTAACTACGGCAAAATTGGTGCTTTCGATGCAAATAAAAACGAACCTGAAATGTTTAGTTGTTGTATGGCAGAAGTAACGTTTGGTCGATTCAACAGTTTCTTCTTCTTCTTTTAGCTAAAAGATTCAAGCACATGCTATTTAAGTAGTTATCAAGAATCCACTGCTTTTCTACTTGAGCATTTTCTACTGTGTACTGGATTCGAGTTTCGTCCTAACAAGTCTGAAGTGATTATCTTCCTTTCTATTTGTTCCTTGGTTTTTGAATTGTATGCACTCAATGCTCATAATATGGCATACTTTGTTCTCAGGGATTGAATCTAAAACTCGGAAGAGCAAAGGAAAGTCTGCTTGAGTTTCAGTGACAGTAAATAAAAACACAGTTGCCTTGATCTCGGGGCAATCGGAAATCACCATGGGAGCAAAACCAAGTTGGGAAATCTCGTATTTTGCAAAGGGAGGAATGAAAGCATAGCATCCAATCCAAGATCCTATTTTTGTCACATGCAACCGTTTCTCATGTTTTCCTACCCGAACAGCTGTCTCTCCGATACTAGGTTTCGTGAAAATCTGATCAAATGTATATAAGTAATTATTTAGTCTTTATATATATATATATATATATATATATATATATATATATATAACTTAATTCTTTTTGTTCTTTTTATAATTTATTTTTATTTTTAAAAATAATGAAATAAATACGTAAAGATTGATGAGAAAAGATTTTTTAAAAAAAAAATATTAAATTGAACGTATTCAACATAAGACTAAATAATTATTTTTTAAAATAAGAAAAATTAATTAATTTGTATCTAAAAAATAGAGGGATCAATATATAATTTACTCAAAACTAGTATAAAAATTCCATTTGACTATATATATATATATATATAGTCAAAAAAGTGTAAAAAGAAAGCTTTAAAAATGTTTCAAGATGCTTTCAGCAAATAGAATGACCATTAATACTCCGAAACTTACCGATTTTTCAAATTTAATGAACTTCCTACGTATGATTCAGTCTTGTTCTCAAAATAAACTAAAACTGCAGAACTCAAGACGCATTAAGCCAAGCCAAAACCGCCATTGGAATACGCAAAAATTGTTCTCATCTGATGCATGAGTTTGCAGTCAATCTAGCAAAGTGATACATGCAAGAGGTTTTCTGTCTCCTTCCCAGCACCTAAAATGCAACATGGGGTGAATTTTTCACTCTGTTCATTAAATAACCTTCACCAATCTAGTACTAGAGTTGCAGGCTAAAATTTTCTGTCTAGTTTTCCTTGCCTTGCAGGGGCAGTTGGTTCATACCTGCTTTGCATCTAACTATGCACCATAATTTTCTCCTATAGATAGCAGGAATTCATTCAAGCAAGGACAGTTGGACGTGTTTGAGGATGTACACTTTATTGATAAATAAAAGCTAAAACAACAAATCAAAGCTACTGCATCAAATCTTTCTCTGCAAAAATTTGTTTAGCACTCAGCTATATCAACCTTATTTGCGACAATGATCCTTTTAAACAGAATATCCATCTCTAAATCAATTACAGAACAAAAGACAGTATAGTGTTGGAAACTGATTTAGTTAACAAGAAACACAATAACATCACCAGACACTGGTTTCCGATTACGCAATTTCAAGACTCAAATTATCATCCTGTTGCCTCAAATTTAGGTAGAGAAACTCATGCAAGTTTGACAAAAATGCAAGGAAGCATTAGACTCTCATTTTATAAGGATTGATGCAAAACAATAATGAATTTTTTCACCGTGCATTAGTTTCTTGTAAAGAACCTTCATGTAATTCAATTTTGAAGTTAACAACCACATTTTGACAAAAAAATTCGTTTCTTTTCTATGGTTTCTGGGTGAAATAAACATCTATTGTTCCTTTCAGAGGTTGGCGGTTGACAAATATCTTGCATTTTGGTATCCTGTTATTATATGCTCCTTAAAAGGGGTCGAAGTTCAAACAATCTAAATGACTAGAACGATGGCAAGAGTAGTTTTGTCAGAACATTCCAAACTGAGTGTGACTCAACCTAGTTATATTAGGATACACATAGTCCATAAAATGAACCCTCAAACAACAGATGAAAACTACTGCAACAAATTTATCTCTACAATGAAATCTAATTAGCATCATGTCTATCAAACTTAAAAGTGAAAAATGATCCGTTTCAACAGATTATCCATCTCTGAATTACAGATAAAAAGGCAGAATTGAAGTTGAACACTGAATGGGCAAAAAGAAACACAACAATATCATTAGGTAGCGAACGTCCGATTAGCCACTTTCACAAGTACAAAAACTAATCCAAATTCAACAAAATTTCAAGCAACTCATAGACAATTCAAATTCATCGCCCCTAGAACTAACGCTAGAAATCATCAAATGATGAAAAAACTTAAAAGCAGTGCGAAAAAAATAAATCAAACTTACACTAACCCCAATATACACAGCTTCCTGCTTTCTTTCATTCTAGACACAAAAAAAATCTCTATCCACCAAAGAATGAGAAAAACCCGCGTTTCTTTGGCTCTTCTTCCATCATAACAGCCTTCATACTATCCTGTTCAACAAGTCTCCAAGCAGCTTGCTCGAAAGCCAATCCAGCCAACGTAGGCGGCTTATTCAAAACAAGTGGATACCCTCTATTAGTACTCCTAATCACCTCTGTATCCTCCGGAATCACACCCAACAATGCCAACCCCAGCATTTCTTGCACATCCAACACCGACATCATATCTTCCCCCTTAATCATATCCGTCCTAACCCTGTTAACAATCATCTTTATATCCCTAATGCCATCACATTCTAACAACCCTACAACCCTATCTGCATCACGCAAGCTAGTAATATCAGGAGTTGTTACCAGAACAGCCTCATTGGCTGGGGTTATCGCAGTAATAAACCCTGCATCAATCCCAGCTGGACAATCAATCAAAATGAAATCTGGGCACCCTTCTTGCCGCGATTTCAAAGACTCAACAAGCCAAACAAGTGCTTTCCCACCGAAACCAAGTGGCAATTTAGACCTGGGTTTAGAAATGCACAACAATTCAAAGTTAGACCAACGCTTGTCGCGGACAAGTGCTTGGTCTAACCGACAATCCCCATTCATAACCTCAACAAGAGTATAATTTACGCGGTTTTCTAACCCTAACAGAAGGTCTAAATTGCGCAAACCTACGTCAGCATCAACTGTGACGACGGAGAAGCCAAGGCGAGCTAAGGAGAGGCCTACATTGGCAGTTGTGGTGGTTTTTCCAACTCCACCTTTGCCGGATGTTATGACGACAACACGGGGGTTTCGCCGGCTAGTTCGGGCTTTCTGTTCCATTGTAGGACTGATTGGATTGTGCGGTTTGAGTGAGGTTTGAAGGGTTTTGTTAGAATCTCGGTTTTAGGTTTGAATTGGGTTGGGGAATGGAGGAATGAGGGTTTTGTGTTTGTGGGTAAGGGTTTTAGTGTCAGCATTGTTTACTATGTGTTTGCGTTTCTGTCTCTGAGAGAATGAGGTTGTTGTTTTAGGGGTGGGGGGAGAGGAAGATCATTTTACTGGCCAAACGACGAAGTGTTGAAAATGATCGGATAGTTCTTTTAGGCTTTTAGAGGAGTAAATTATACATTAGTACCTATACTTTTTCATTAAATCAATTTTATTTCAATAACTAATCATTTAATTTTTTTATGTATTTAAAAAAAAATTAAAAAAATATTGTGAAAAAATTGATTAAAAAAGATATTTTTAATAAAAGAATATTAAAATAAGCATGATCAACACTAATTAAAAAACTAAATAATTAATTTTTTTAAAAAAAAATAGTTACTTTATTTCTTGAAACTAAAATAACTATTTTATAATTTACTAGCACATCACTATAATTTTGTAATTTTATTTTAGTGCTGCCCTCAAATTATCATATTTTTTTAATTTTACCCTACTACTTAACTTTTGTTACTTAATAAAGTCCTTCCGTCCAATTTTAGGTTTAAAATGTTCGCGTGGCCAGACAAGTGGGTCTTGTTACTTAGTTTTTCCCTTGTCAAGATATAAAAAAATACATGAGCTGTTTATATGGAAACTAATTTCTTCTTATTTTTTCAAATTTTCTTTTGTTTGTGTCTTCTCGAAATTGCAAAAAGAAAACTCATATTATATGAGAGAAATTGAGTCATAGGATCCACTTTTAAAGTCACGTTAGAAAGACTTGAAACTAGTAAATAAAGGAGTTTAGGTCCATTAAGAGGGTTGGATAATGAAAATTAATTAATGAAGGACCATATTAAAGAGATTGGGAAAATGTAAGGATGCACAAGCTAAACGGACCAGTTGCTACTTGTTAAAAAATGAGGTGGGATTTTTCGGTTCAATAGGTATTGAGTTCCCGAAGCTTAGGCCCAATTTGTTTTGGGTTTTTTTGGGTCTATGTGGGTGGAACGTGAGTGGACTTTGGTTTAGATTTTCAAGTTTCAGCTTGAGAGCAAAAATAAGAGCAAATAACTCCATAGTTCTTAATAATTACTAGTTTCTTACCCGCACTACCTTACGGGTCAAGCAACATATATAAAATAATTTAAAAATATTATTTTAGTTTAATGGTCCATATTATACGATATGTTTGTCAATGTATATTAATTAAGGGTAAAAAAATTTAATTTTTTAATTTTTTTTAATCAAAATTTTATATTTCACTAATTCTTCTCATGTTTTTCATAATTTTCCTACAAAAAAAATAATTTTTTATTTTGTATCCATGAATTCTTTGTTAACAAATTTGTAATAATTTTAAAAGAAAATTTAATATGAAATATTAAAAAAAAAACATAACATTATCTTTATAAGACTATGTCGTTAAAACAAAGTAATAATTGATATAAAAACTTAAATAAAAATAAACAAATAAAAAAATAATTTTGATTCTAATTTAATATTGATGAGAAGATTAGATTTTAAAAGTTAGCATATCCGATTTTGATATATTTATTCATAAAATTATCAAAGATATTAGAATAAAAAATTATATTTGAATAATTTGTTGGTTTTACAAAACATAATTTTAATTATTTAATTTAAAAAAAAAATCTCCATGGTATCAATCAATAAATAAATAGCAAAGATTTGTGGTCTGCGTTGTTGTATAGTTAATTTCTAATAAATCCAAGAATTTAATATATATTTTTTACATAAGAACTATATTGAGTGGATTTTGTATTTTGCAACATAAAAAAAAAAAACATTAAAGAAAAATAATTAACTTGCGAGTATTTTATTGAATAGATTTAAAGTTAGTATTGAGTAGATTTTGTATTTTGCAACATAAAACAAAAAAAAAACATTAAAGAAAATACAATTAACTTGTAAATAGTTTATTGAATAAAGTTAAAGTTAGTAGAATAAAATAAAAATATAAAAAATTTCATTTTGATACATTTTTATTATATAAAGAAATAGCAAATAAAACAAATAAAAATCTTTTTGTTTCTTATATATATATATATATATATATGTTACACATGACAGTTCCTTGTGCACAGATATCGTATGAAGAGCCATGATTCAAAAATTTTAAGAATCTATTCCATAAATTATATTTTTTATATTTTTTTAAAAAATAAAAAGTAATAATGTTTTAAAATTTTATTTCAAAATCCATATGTAGATTAAAAAAAAATCATATTTTTCTATAAATGAAATTTAATAAAAAAATTCATTTGATAAGATTTTACATTAAAAAATCATAAATTGAAGGAATAAATTTTAAACAATAAGAGTAATATAATCTAAAATATATATTTATTTTGAAAATAAAAACATGTTATATATATTTTTTTCATCTTTAGGTTATTTGAGAAATGTAAAAAATAACGATCAATTATCCATAATTTTTGCCAAATAATTCATAATAATAAAAATAAAAATAATTAATGAAAAAAATTAGTAATCACCAAAAGTCAAAAACAAGGGAAAAAAAACCATAGGACCAGACAAAATGCAGGGCCAACTACTTGCATTTAATGCTCCAGTAAAAGGAAAATGCTAATGACAAAAAAGGGCACAAAAGCATGAGAGTAGAATAAAAAACAGATTAAGGTACAACAATAAATCACCAACAACTCAATGGCATTAAAGAAAATGAAGGCAAAATAGAAGGGCCAAAAATAGAGAAAGCTAGATAACTAGAGGTATTAATTTATTTGGCAAGAAAAAGAAGACAAACAAAAATACATCAAACGGTAAGAAGAGGATTGTAGAAGAAGACAATCAAGGGCTGGAAAAAAAAAAAAACATCCATAGTTATTATGTATGACAATGAACAGTCTATCAATAGTGATCTTCGTTGTCGAAAACATTTATCTCTTTTAATTTATTTTAATATATCTAATTGAATTGATTTTATTATATATATATATATATATATATATATATATATATATATTAAGTTTTTAATTTATTTTTTCAATAAAATTTTAATCTAAATTATTGGAATTAGTCACCCGATATGTACATAATATTTTCTATATGTTTAGCTTGTAAATGTATCTTAGAATAAAAAATAATTATATGCAAATTATGAGATTAATTCTGATGATTTAATTTAAAATTTTTATTAAAATAATACGTCATAAATTTAATACATATTCAATGATAGATTTGACTCGATTAAAAATATAATGATAGATTAAAGAATTGATTTATTATATAATAATAGATCGAGACATTAACCTAAAAAATAATATAAAAAATTTGTATACTTTTTTATTTAAAATCTGTACGTCTTGTTTTGTTCTCTTGATCATGCTCGTAGTGCTATCAAATGTCATTGGAAGTTAATCCCAATGTAATGGTAAAACCATGATTCAAATGTTTATGTAATAACGACAACAAACTACATATTAAATTGTTTATATATGATAAAAATAATTGAAAAATGTTTAATGAGACAAATTAATTCATCCATTTTCTTGTTTTTTCCTACCCTAAATTCAATAAGATTGGACCTTGCGTGTGCTATCACTTGTCCCCAACTCAAGAGACCATCAAAGAATGCAACTCCATTTTTTTATTATTATTATAATGTATGTACCATTCAAAACGTGTTAGGTGATATTGATGCTAGTGCTTCCTTTTCTAAGTAAACTTCTACTTTTTCTTTGAAATTTATTTGAGCTCATCGCAAGTGTTTTATCAAATTGGTATTTATGATACCGACATTGGTTCACAAGCTTTGCTTCAACATTGTTATTTCAAATTCAAGTTAAAAAATTCCAAGAAATTTTTTTTACCAACAACTCTCATCTAATAACGTTCTCATTCTTATAATAATATAAAAGTTGAAGATCTTTTTTTATTCCTAAAATATCTTAAAATTAAAAATCCAAACTAATTTTTACGTTATTCTATCCGACATATAAAACAAACACAATCACTTAATTTTTTTTCTTTTTACGTACATACAGACTTGAACTCGAATTTATTTTTTTAAGTGATTAGAATTTTTTTTTTTTTTTTTACTCAAGCCGATTCTTCAGAATTCATGATATAATGTAGAGATTTTTAATTTTTTTTAATTTTTTGTTTTTTTTATCATATGATGTCTTGTTCATTAAATGTAAATTGAAAGTACGTAATTCAATATAGGATAAAAATAACAACAACTTAACTATTTATTAATTTTTTCCTCATTTACATTGAATTTAAAATTAATACGTAACTATTAAGATTTATATAAAAAGAATTTTAAGCATGAGTAATAAGAACCCGAACTAAAAATTTTATCGGTTGAAGATCCAAAACGCGGTAGTAAAATATCACATTGGAGGACTCTTGATTCTTGAGCATGGATAACGAGGATCCGTAATTAGATTTGAAAAGCGATTAGTCAAAGATTTGAAAAACAATACTAAATTACAAGAATTCCTAGAAAAGAAATATTGCCTAAAATATCAAATTCCAAAACCCATATCATGAAAATCATTTTGGTTTTTACAATTTACTCCATGAATAAGAGTTGTTGATCACCTCACCCAAATCATGAAAATATCGAAATTATTAGATTTGAATTGAAAATATTTAATTCAATACACAATAAAAATAACAATAACTTAACTATTTTTTTAGTCAATTTAAACTATTAAATTCAACATTAACATGCAACTATTAGAATTGTCTAAGATGAATTTTGACGATGATCGATTAGAATTCATAATAAGATTTGAAATATGTTCGATCAAAGATGAGAAACACAATAATAAAATATTATATAAGAGGAATTTTGAATTTTTTTAAAAATTAGGATGAGATTTATATATGATCGATCGAAAATGTAAAACAAAAATAGTAAAGTATACGAATTGTTACAAAAGAAATATGAAAATCATTTTCCATGAATGAGAGTTGTTGATCGCTTTACTTCACTTGATAAGTCAGTCCTAATTTCCAAATCCAACTTGATCTCTACTCTCCCACCCCGAATGGCTAAGCATCCATAATCTACACCGTCCAACCAATTTCTCCCAAACAAGAAACCTAAATCGGACCGTCCAGCAAGCGTTTCCTATCTACGCACGAAAAGGGTCCCTCTTTCACCAATCTTGATCACTCTCACCAAAACTTGCCATGTGTCATGACTTTATCAGCAACCATGAACTGCCACGTGTCTAAATCCAATTCTATAATTACAAGATTGCCCTTCCTCACTGGTCACCTATCTCATGTGATCAGTTATTTTATCTCTCTCTTTGTAATCTTCTCTCACTTTCTGTAGATCCAAACACCCCATTATAAGCGCTCTGTAATTTCAGTTCCCTTCCTCTCTTTCTTGTGTTCTCTTCACTTCTGTAGGGAAAAGTGGAGACTTTTTCGATCTGTCAGTGGACAAGGTTTGATTTTTTATACCTTTAAAGTTTGGATTTTTATTCAGTTTTTATTGGTAGGCTTATTGATTTTGTTATGATTTTATTGAATTATTCATTTTTAGTGAATTTTGTATGTTTTAGCTTAATGGGTTTTTGGATCCAGTGTTATTGTGTCTGTTTTACTGGTTTTTCTTTGTATGTTTTATAGTTTGGTGATGTGGGCTTGTTTGTTTGTTCAAGATTTGATTTGAATTATATTTATTTGTAGAAGTTGTGGCCTTGGATCTAATAAGGATTGAAATTTGGATTATGATGTTATTTTCTGTCGTTAGAGTTCAAGACTGGGAACTGGTAGGGTTTTGAGATGTGATGAGTTTGTTTGATTTGTTAGTTGAATAGTTAATTGAGTGGCTTAAAGTTGAAGTCTTTTGGGATCTGAAATCTGAACAAAGAGATTATAATGTTCAATTATGGAATTATCTGAAGAAAGAGTGATTTCTAATCTAATTGACTTAATATAGGAGAGATTTTGTTGAAGGGGGGCAAGAATAATTGATCAAGGCAGTAAGGATTAGGTTAAAATTTCTTTGTGGGTTTTTACGTTTGGTGATTAATAACATGTTCCTGACTTTTTAAATTTAACTGCGTTAGAAAAAGGCAATGTTAGCTATAATCCTCATGCACCCGTGCGCACACACACCACAATTTTATCAATTTGAAGGGGCTTTTTTATTGGTCAGGGTTCTCTCATTGACAATTAAATTGTTGTGAATCGGTGAATTGATTCAGAGGTAGCTGTATTGAAACCCAATTTTGTGGCTGAAACAAGGATCTAATGGAGGTTTAGAATATCTTTGGTAACCTTGTGCAATATGACTCTCCTATGTGTGTATTGCTCATTAATTTACTTTGGATGGCTTCTTGTTTATTGACTTGTTGAGTTTTTCGACTGCAGTAGGGAAGGCCATGTGAACTGTTTGAAGTACTGGAGTGGGATTGTTGCTTTTGCAGTTTTGATCAGCTCTGTGGTTTTATTGGTTGCACAGAATGGGCAAATGCAAGGGTTGTGCAAAATTAGGAAGAATGGTGCCAATGGATGAGTCTGTGGATGCTTATCATTTCTCTCTCTTATTGTCTCCCGTTGTTTCTGTTTGGGATTGTATTGTCCGTAAGATGAGGTACTCTTTCAGACCTGAGTGGGTGTAGTTCTTGAATTTCTGAGATTTCATTAGTTTTTCTATATTGAAATTAGGTAGTATTGTTTAGCAGTAAACAAAGAGTGAAAAAAGAACAGATAAAGAACGAAAGAAAGTTATAGAGAAAATGTACACATTTTAGAGGAGTTCGCTGTCAGCTAATAAGTTGAAAACAGGACAATAGTTGTAGTTTCAGTAGTGTTATCATGGATAGCATAGCGTGTAATAAAGTGCAACCTGTTGTGAGGAAAGTGAAGAAGAAGCAGGTGAAAGGTGAGATGGATCGTCTCAGGCAAGCTGAGAAGAAAAAGAGGCGTTTAGAGAAAGCTCTTGCTACTTCTGCAGCAATCCGATCCGAGCTAGAGAAGAAGAAACAAAAAAAGAAGGAAGAACAGCAAAGACTTGATGAAGAGGGTGCTGCAATTGCAGAGGCTGTTGCTCTGCATGTCTTACTCGGCGAGGACTCTGATGATTCATGCAAAGTTGTGCTAAACAAAGAAGAAGGTTTCAACACCTGGGGCTGTGCCGGCAATATTGACCTTTTCATGGGTGAAAAGAGACCATCACCCCCTCACGAGGACTGCTCAGGGAATTCAATTGAAAGAATAGGGTGGGTCCCTAGTACTTATGGAACTGGATGCAGATGGGGGAGATGGAAAACAATGACTGGTCATTTTCGTACGAGTCTCTTCAAAGGCGTTTACCAGTGCAATACTTTGACGGTGGCGGCTGGGGGACTACAGAGTTCTCAGCTGGACTCATAGCAGCACAAGCTGTTTCATCGCTTCAGATTGCAGAGGACGCGCATGGCGGTACGTTCCTCTTCAACGGAATGCTGGGAGGGTAGATAAGCCATTCTCTGCTAGCCTCAAAGCCGAGTCATAGTTACAGTTCCGAAATAATGGTTTTGTATATATTCATGAATGTTGTTGTCGTTTATCAGATTTCTTCTGGTTTGAACAAATGTCGCACTTATCATCTCTCTGTTTTTCATGCCATTTGCTCGAGAAGCATGTTTTGTTTTTTTGTGACAAGAAGCATGATTTTACCGGTACTTTGCTTTCCTTGTGGTACGATATATCTGACTGATTCAATTCTAACGTCTGCTTTTATTGACTACTAAAGTAACATGGCCCACTTGATTGAGATTTTTATTGCACTTTTGTTGCAATCTTCTGGTAAAAGAAATATCAAAGTTCCATCAAAAATTTGTGTCACACAGATCCTCTATGGGTTAGATGAATGGAATGCAATGATCCTTCATTTTCATACACAGGTTCTACATACGTCATCTAGTGTAATTTCTCATGATATTGATGGGGAAGATGAAACAGAGCTCTCTGGTTAAGTTATTGATGGAACAGAGCTCATGATTCTGTTGCATAAAAAAACTAGGGTTTTCATTCTGAATCCAGTATCTACTCTGTAGGTAGAGGAAGATGCCAGCCAATAGGACCATTCTTTTAGGTTGGTGCCAGAGACACTCACCTACAGAGTGGAATCCATTATCCACCAGCATGTGGGAGCCATGGAATGTATAGATGAAACCTGAAATCTCCAGTTTGTTCACCGTCTCTTCTATGATTCTTCCCAAAAAGTCTTCAGCTACTAAGATCCGAAGAATGGTTGTTGAATGTAGCTTTTTCTAATGTTAGAAGCTAGATGAGAAGACAGCTAAGAATAGCACGTACGTTTGCGGCACTCGACTTCGATTGAAACTAAGCAGTTGGTACCAAATTGTCCTACTGTCCACCGCTAGATGAATATGATACGTAGTGGATAACAACTTCCATAAAAGTTTCTATGTAATGTCGGCACGTCCCTTTTCACTTTACAGATGGAGTACTTTCTCTATTATTAACTGTTGAGGTATCTATCTAGTTGGATATTTGGTTATAAATATTTTTAAAAGTAAAGAGAGTTAATTGACAAAAAATAGCTAATTTGGAGAGCAAATTATAAATTAATCCCTCCTTTTCAAGAAAAAAATTAATTAATCCCCTTCATTTTAAAAAATATTATTTAATTTTTTAATCAGTATTGATCATACTTAATTTAATATTATTTTTATTTTATAAAATCTCTTATTTTCTCATCAATTTTTTATTTTTTTCTTTTTTATTTCTTAAAAAAAATCAAAATAAATTAAAAAGAAAAAAAACTAAATTAAAAATATATTTCAAAATATAAAAATTAAATAATTAGTTTTTATAACAAGATGAATTAATTAATTAGTTTCTCAAAACGAGGAGGAGTAATTTATAATTTACTCTTCATTTAGAACTCAATTTGTAAGAGAAAAAATTGTTGGGTTATCTGCATCTATAATAGAAAAGGATTGCATTAAAAAATAAAATAAATAAAATAAAAACTTACTCCTGGAGATTTTCATATAGAAATTATGTAACAAGTGAGTTTGTTTGTCATCTATTATATATATTTTTTATTCATTGGAACCCTAATTGACCTATTGAGTTCTATAATAAGGATGACTCTTCTCGTTATATAATTATTAACGAAACTAAAATTACTAGAACTCAAATTTTGTTTTACTAAGAGCAATTAGATATACAACCGTTAAATTAAATCTATTTGTATTATATAATATAAATTTTAAGTTAAATTTTCATATAAGATTTGGAGTTAATAGAAATTTGCGATAAATAAATAATTGCAAATATATATAAAAGAACCCGTTTGAAGAAGAATTGTCTCCATGCGTAAAAATTGATTCGAAAAAATGTATAATCATTAAATAAATAAAAAGAAGATGCATTGGCCAATCGTCAATGATGACTTGGGGGGGCTAACTTAGAATCTAGAGGAGATTATGAAAGTTATGATTGAAGCCACTGTCTTCCAAAACTCAACTTTGCCATTGGTTCGTACCAACTAGCATTTATCACCAATTGTTAGAAAACCACGTTGGAAGGCATCATGCAAACAACTATAATGGGTTTCCTCTAAGGATCACGATGGAAGAGCAAAAGTCTTCTAGTTTGCATGATGTTTACATTGCAACTATAATTACAGTATAAGGTGTTCGTTTTCCTAAAATTTTCAGTAATTGATCAATGAAATTTTTATTCTGAATATTGAAAAGTTACCTATTTTTTTGGTAATTATCTACTTGCTTTTTCTAACTTGAAAATGATGTGTGGTAACATCATGTAATTTAAGAGGCCACCCAATCCAAGTGTCAACCATAGCTAATGTCTCCATGAAATCTTAAAATCACATTCCAAAAAAGAAAATGAACACACGAATTAAAATCACATATTCCTAAAAGAAAAGATTAAATTTCAAGCTTTTGAATAAACTTCATGTGTTTATCTTTTTTCTCATAGAATTTCGATAACACGTAACATAATGTGATTTTATTTATTAAATTTAATCTTTTTTTATTAGAAATATTGAAATTAATTTATCAAGCGGATACTATTTCTATCTCATTAAAAAAAAAAAAGAAGATATTATTATGCACGAGTTACAAATTTATTTTTTATGTTAACCAACGAGCTAAAAAAAATAAGAATAAATATACTCATATGTATTTATATAATACTCAAAATCTCTCATATGTCCTTAAGTTCTATTTACATTTTATTTGTCCTTAAAAGCATATAAAAGATTTGATCTGCTTTTACAATTAATTTTTTCAGTCATAATTTTTTTTGAACCAAAATACTATTCGATTGAAATTCCAAAAAACAAAAAAAAAAACTAAGAACTTCAAAAATAAAACATATAAGTCATGTGACTTTTAAGTAATTTTTTTCTCATATTTTAGTAAAAGATATTTTGGTTAAAATTTTTCATGATCCAAAAATTTAATTGAAAAGACAAATTAAACATTTTAATTTTTTTAAAAAAATAAATAAAATACTATTAAAAATCTAAGAACAAATAAAATACTTTTAAGTATTATAAAAACAAATAAATATATTTTACCCAAGAAATAATGCACAATTAGCGTTGGCCAAAGGAAGGTTTTCACGTTTCAATAAGTTGAGTCTCAATGGGGAGAGATAATTAGGGCTTAAGCAGGCCTTTTATAGTGGGGGCTGCTCTGAGGTTGCTATCTAGATGGAGCTTTGACTCTAATGTACCTTTTGCCGCAAGTTGTAACATTTTGTCCGAAGAAATTTTTGGATACCAGAAAAGTATGTCCAGATTCCATGAAGATCAATAGTGGGATATGGGTAAGAGAAAAACACTTCAAATTTATAACCTTTTTAAAGTGCTTGGGTCCTTTTAGGCACCATCAGAAAAATAATTCAGTTGGAAAAGCAATTAACAATTTTACAATGATACACAATGAATGAATCTTTAATGGGCTAGATGCGGGTAACGCTTTCATCATATATCGTGCGCTGAATTCTGATGCAGTGGTGGCACCTCGGTTTCTTGCCGTGAATTCTGATGCAGAGTTGGTACCTCTGATCCTTGCCGTGAGTACTGCCGCAATAGTTGATCTGACCCTTGCTTACTGCGTTGCTGCTTAAGAAGGATGTCTTCATCCTGATTATCAACTTCTGTGCTACTGGATGGTTTGGCACCATTTGTGATGAGGTTTTTAAACCAGGTTCCTTGAAATCTAGGGACTCCTCTGTTTGAATTTCCTGGGGACTCGTCAGGTGCAGACCCCAAAAGGAAACGATACGCGACTTTGCTGGCAGATACTAACTCAGTCTTGGCTTGTCTAAACTGCAGGTAACCAAACAGAAATTTAGATATCAGGGAAATGTTAAAAACTATAAACAAGATGATTAAAACATCCACATCTATCTCTAATTAGTAATCCACATGCAGGCCGCTCTTCGACTGGTGTCAATAAATATTAGACGAATGGGCTCCTAACAAAAGCATCAAGAACAAAAGAAAAATAAATACACAAGAGTATCTAACCCGGAAGGCTGTATTTCCTGCTACTTCCATGGCAGCATCACCAGCATTGGCAAAACGATTAACCCAACCTGTCCGACAAACCACAGGAGCATCCACTTCAAGACTATTGCCAATAAAAGATTAAACAATACAAGTTTCTTTCTTAAGTTGAAAAAGATAAAAGAATGGTTACAATCCCAAAGAAACAAGATGCTCAGCTTATAATTTACACCCAAAATTTACTGTATTGTAGTCAAAGGAGTAGTTTACAACTAAAAAGGTAGGGCCAGTGGTCAAGTGAGATGAAGCACATGAAAACAGCAACTCAAGCCCAACATAAGCCAGAGCAATGTACAAAATGTACCATAACTCATTTTTTGTCATACTCATCAGAAGCTATGACAAAAAGTGCAGGTGCATAATTCAACCCAAGCAACTTCAAAGGATATTAGGATAATGAAGCTTTGTCAAAGATACGCACACAAGGAAGGGAAGTAAGGACAAGTTCGAGAAAATATGTTGCCAGGTTTAAGAACACTATTAAACTCAAGAGGATATTTGCCAGCACAACAATTTACACATAAATGTCTCCACATACTGTGCTAGTTCTCTGTCATAAATCCGTGTCTACTGAGGATTTGTGTTAAAAAGAGAAAAAGGTGCTCCAATATACAAGGCAGTACACACAGAATACACTCAAAAGGCTGGAAACTTTATCTCCAAAAATATACCAATTCATGTTTTAGATATTCTTTTAGATGATATAATCTTGAAAACAAGTAAACCTTACCTGGAAGTTTTGGCACACCTAGCCTTTCACAGAATTCATCACAGAAATGATTACAGTTCTTGGCCAATAAGTCATATTCGCTTCCAGGCCATTCTCTAGTAAGTTCCCGCAAGATCTGATTCACCTTAAAGATTGAAAAGACAGTTTTTCCTAGTACAATGCTCTCGCGATATGTATACATCGGATTCTTTCCAGAAGGGCAACTGAAAACTCCAGTTCCTTGCTCACAAAACCCAAAAGACCATTCATCATCTCCATATACCTGTCATAAATAAACAAAACGGATCTATTACCCTCGATTCATATATTCCAGTTCAATATAAATTGATCTCAAGAGAGTAATAGAAACAGCAAGAAGATAATAAATAAATTCCAATTTATCAGTAAAAGGTGTAATACAGTGGTAAAATATAGAAGCTCAGTGTCTAGTTTTAAGACATGCATTCATTTGTCTTATATCTAGCCAGTTTATTGTATTTGGACTCAGTCTACACAAATTCAGTTTTTTTCCCAAACAAATTCACTAACGAAACTTTACCTAAAAACTTAACCAACAAAAAAAATCCTTTTACAGTGATAGGCCAGAAAACAGAAATAAATCACTACGAAACAATAAACATTAAATTCATGATTACACATGAATGTCCCCTCCGAATATCGCATGTCAAAACAAACCTCCCTCCCCCAGCATGACTTTTATCTCGTCCATCACGTCGGTGTGTTCAAAGCAAACCAATTTATAGCACAGTTGAAAGTTCCAGTTCTTGAAAGACACATCAAATAGGTCTATCAAAACCAAAACCCTAGAACCACATCAAAACAACTTTAATTCACCATGTCAATGATTGGGACTCAGCAACAGTAACTATCCCTCTTATAAATATTCCAACATAGTTAAAAACATCATACTAATTTTACCACACAACAAACAATCCACAAATTAGTTACTCCAGGTTCTTAAACCAAAACCCTAGATCACAAATTCCACTGGCAAAATATTCAATTTAACCATTTCAGTAAATAACTAATCCTAGATCTCTCTAATTTACACTAACTCCGCCATAACTACTGCAATCAGACAATAGAGAGAAAGAAATGAACCTGAACAGCGCTGTGGAAGATGCCGCCGAGACCAATAGCGTCTTTGAAGATCTTGTTGATGTTCAAAATAGTGTTGTTCGTCTTCTCCGATCCACTATTTGTCACATCATACACATGCAATATCACCTCCGTCATTTTCTTCTCCTTCTTTAATAAATTCAATCCAAAAGCAAGAAACCCTAAACCTAACCCTAAATTCACCAAAATCACACTCGCAGAAGCTCTCTGTCACACACACTCTCTCGATCTTAGTCTGTGCCTTCTTCTTCTTCTTCTTAATTTCCTCCGTCTCTCTCTCCTTCTGTTGCGTGTGTCAGAGAGAGAAGAGAATTTCAGAGGAGTGGGAGGTTTTTGAACTTGGCCTCGTAATGCTAAAACTCACTTTTTTTTTCAGTTGAAGAAAGAAGGAAGAAGAGTTTGGTTACAGGAATCTAAAAATTAGAGAATGCTTCAGCAAGATTTTAATATATATATATATATATATATATATATATGTATATGTATGTATGTATGTATGTATGTAGTTTAATGGGATAAAATGAAAGGAGAAAGTAGAAGAATTTTTTGGGTTTTGGTTTTCAACTTTGTCCCTAACTAAAATGTTGATTCAATTTAGTCCTTTAGATATTCATTGTATTTTGATTTATTGATAAAATGGATATATAAATAGGTTGAAATCCGCCAACAAGTTGATATAGAGATAAGTGACCTTTTTACATATAAAATTGAGGGTTTGAATTTTACTACATCAACCTGTAATTAATATTTATACCTTCACAAAATTATTCTAAAAAAAAATCTTGAGTTTCAACCCAAACATAGGTATAATGAGAGTTTTTATAAATAAAAGAATAATATGTGTGAGCGTACTATTTTTTTTATCGAAGAGTGTGGGATAACTGACCTATATTTTTATTTTTTATAACAAAAATAAAAAATAACAACATATATTATAGAAAATATTATAACTTTAATGTCCACTTGCATTCATACAAATGCATAATACATTTATATAAAAATTAAAGTTTAAAATAATTCTATAAATAAGAATAATCAGATACAAAGATTTTAATGATATATTGATTACTCAAATTTGTAATTCAAGTTGAATAAATCTTCTTCGTTGGCTTAGAATTAGTTTTTCGAAGGTTTTGTCATTCTTTTATTTATTCGTTTATTACCCAACGAATCTAAGTATTTTTTAAAATACTTGTTTCACTATTTGATACACAAGCTATACATGATATTTATATATTTTTTTCATTTGATTGGTACAACTATCTTGATTAAATAAATTATCATGACTAATTTTTTTATCTTTTCACTTCGTTTATTATTTGACAAATTACATACAAATTTACAATCAACTTTAAAATAGTATAAATTTACTTAATTTAGTTAAAGGATTTGTATTACTATTGCTTGGATAATAAAGTTGCAAGATTTAAATGAAGTCTGATTTGATATTCAGCTAAAAGAATGAGGACTGATCTGTAGTTAATCCAAACTTTTCTTTTAAAAGAAAAAGAATTGAATTTTATTAAATTGTTCCTAGAGATTTGAGAGAATTATAATTACACCCTACAAGAAGGGCGTCTTTTTGTATATAACAACTGTCCGGCCCTACTGGATTTTGGAATAAGAGAAGTTTACAGTTATGATTAGCAGCAGTGGGGATTGGGATAAAAGGTGGCCCCCACCCATCGTGGCCATTATCATAAGCTACAAACCACCTACCGACAGTTTTCTTATTATTACGGTCATGCCCTCCTCATTTTTTGTTTTGGAATTTTTTTTATATATTAAAAAATGATGAGTATCCTCGATTATTTTTTATATCGATTAAAATTTAATCCATCATTTTTCAAACTAACTAATGTCAGTCTTCGTTTCGACTATTAAATTATTTCTTAAATCAAACTAATCTAAATATAATACGTGATAATTTCATAGATAACGAAAAATAAATTTTAATTCTCGTTAAATAAAAACGATTCTCTTATAATCATATTAGATCTCTAGATTTTTTTTTAATTTTAATTATCCTTTATACTTTTATTTTTCAAAATAAGAATTTAAATTTTATACATAAATTTTATGTTATGATTGTAGAAGGAATAGCTTTGACATTCAAAATAAATTTGAAAATTACAAAATGGAAAAGAACATGAAATTGTCAGCTCTCTAGGGTGCGAGTTGTTTTTCAATTTCTTTTAATGGACATTAAATTAAACTATATAGAGAAAAAAGAACTCAAAATTAATAAGGAAAAAGAAAATGAAAGTGTAATTTCCTAGGGGATAAATTAGTTTTCACATTTTATTTTATGAATATTCAACTATACAAAGAAAAAAGAATTCATATAAAAACAACACGACGAACAAAATAAATTACTCATATTAATATATCCATTTAAATAAAAAAAAATTATTTTTCGATTATGAGTGTTTTTAAATTCATTTTTAAGTTTTGAGATTCAATCAATTCTTGAAATTTTAAATTTCATAATATTTTTATGGAATATTTTTCACAACCCGACATAAAGTTTGAACCATGAAACCTAAAGAAAAACACCTACTTTCTTAAAAAGTAGCTCAACCATTTAGATTATATAATATGAAAATAGCATAATATATAAGTTATAACTACTAAGATTCAAAAACCCTAATTTTGAGATTAGGGCAAGTAGACAAAACATTGTTCAATCATACAAGAGGATTTGTCTAACTCGTACGCCGACGGCTCATGTTAGAATTTCCCTCCAACAAAAATGGTAATGTAGGGAATGTCATGTGATTGTGATGTAAGGGGAAAGCACCACCTTCTGCATTAACCCTCCTAAATCCATTTGTTTGGATGCAAATGAAAAGGGATGCAATAGAGTTGATTGCCCTTTGGACTCCTCGAGTAGAAATATCTAATGGTCAAAATGATGGGTAGCTATCATGTCATGTTATATAATTAGAGGTTAGCACTATTAGATTAAAATAAGAAATTCTAACATAATCAAATTAGTAATTTCGGTTCGATTTTATATAAAAAAATTTGTCAAAAAATGGAAATCAAAAACTGAAATTATTTTAGTTTTATTTAGTTTTTTTTTTTAAATTTGGTTTCCATCAAAAACTAAAATAACGTTTTTTTTTTAACCCACACAGCTAATGCTTGTAGCATTTATCTATGATTTTTTTTTGTTAAAACTTTAATTCAAATTATTAACATTTCTTGAAAATCGAAAAAAAATTACAAAAAAGAGCCTTTAGCTTGATTCAAGAGAAAATTTACATTTCAAAAGAAAGGATGCAAAAAAAAAGTTTTTAATTAAAAAACGAAAAACTAAACTAAAAAGTTCATTTTTTTAACTAAGAAATGAAAAAATAATTTGATTTGATTTCGATTTTTATTTTTATCAATTCGATTAACAAAACAAAAACCAAAATCAAATTGAAAAACTGAATAATGGCCCTACATACAATAATCTTTACTCTCTAAAAAATCCTTCTTGTGACTACCTTTACAAGCCGTTGCTTGGATTTGGGACAAGGAATATGACACTTTACCTCATACTATGAAAAATTGTGTGACACACAAGAGAGCCACGTGGGACTATGGGCTCACCTTGAACCTAGTCCATGCACTTCTAAATTTCAAAACAAAACAACCTCTTTCGTTTTCCTCGTTGTGTCTTGAAAGATGAGCTGTGAAATGTCCAAAAACCATGATGTCAGAGATCTATGATGGTGGCACAGTGGCAAGTGATTACCAGCTTTGCTTCGTGATTGACTTATCGGCTAATTAATGATGTTAGCGGTAATCATCCACAAGAAACCTCTAGATGTATACACGTGGGACACAAACACCATTCTTAATTAATGTCTTTCCTTTATCATGCACTTCAGGAAATCAGCATCATGCAGCTGGACGAGGCAGCCAATTATTTTCACATTGAGAATCCGCCACCTCAAAGACTTGTCTCTGTTTTTCAGTTTCAAGAATACAGAGGATTTGAAATTCTCAATTTCAGCACCAATCTGTTTTCATCCTTAATTCGAAGAACATGCAATGTTTGGAATTTTCGATTTCAAGAACAATCCATTTTCATCTACAATTCTAAGAACGTAAAGGGTTTGGAATCTCCAATTTTAACACCAATCCGTTTTCCTCCTCAATTCTAAGAACATCGAGGATTTAGAATCCCCCCATTTTTACACCTATCCGTTTTCATTTCCGATTCTAATAATATAAAGGGTTTGAAGTCTTCAATTTTAAGACCAATCTGTTTTAATCGAAAGTTGCTCAAAGATAGTCACTTTCGGGTTATCAACGTAGGCATCACCTAGTATACCACTTCTTCATGTCTGAACTTGCATAAATGTAGCTATTTACCACTGCATCAGACCTGCAGTCCAAGGCCATTAAATTCTATGAGATTAAAGGGGTTGAGAAAGGGAGAAGACCACTTCCCTTGTGTAATTCAACAACCAGAATTTAGAAGATCATGTGTCCGCAAGGAGGGATGAGCCCACCCATTTGCTTTTGATGTAGATGACTTTATTACTTCATTCCCACTCAAAATATTCAAAAGAGCTACCTTATGCTTTAGAATAACATCCAAATATCAGTAGTAGTAGTGAAGAAAGAATCCGAAATGGGTGAGCGCGCTGGACAGAAAGAATAAGGGTATAGCAAAGTCTTTATACAGAATTTCAATGGTCATTGATTCTATTCGGTATCAAGTATAAAACTTAGCAGGATACAACTAAAATACAGCAGCAGGAATGTTGCAGCTCAAGGCAATGAGCATACAGCTTGGATCCGTTTAAAACACTTATAGTCGCTATGAAAATGGAGATAAAATACAGCTTAAAAGTAAAGGGAAAAAAAAAACAAAAGGGAAGCGGAGGTGTCTCTTAATGTACCTATGGAGTAACGTCAAGGAGAACTTCTGAGACATGATACATGATACATGATACAGTGCGGTGAATTTGCAATTAACACCCGTAATGTGGACTTGTTTATGTTAAGATAAGAGTAAAAGAAGAAAAAACTATCTGCCTTCGTTGGTCATCAACTGTGAAAAAACTAGACTGTTTCTAATTTCTGAAGTACCATCACCATAGCCTGTTTCAGTCTCAGTGTTGTTTGATGGAGCTTGGGGAGCTATTCGAGGTGTCGGGAGCTCTGGCGCATTCACATTGTTGTCTTCATGTGGTTCTCTTGATGGTTCAGAAGCTGATTCTTGAAGCTGAAGTGCATACTCCAAATTCCATAATACATCGCCTATGCTTGGCCTATCAACACCATAGTCAGCCAAACATTTCTCTGCCGTCTCTCCGAATTTCTTCAAAGAATTTTGCTTTATCTGTCCTGCAAGATGAGGATCAATAATTTGTTCGAGCATGCCCTTCTTCTGCCATTGTATTGCCCATTCTGCTAAATTCACCTGCTCCCGAGCAAGTAATGGATCGACTGCAGGCCTTGCACAAAGAACTTCGAAAAGCACAACTCCAAATGAATAAACATCTGATTTATCAGTAAGCTGTTGTCTTCGGAAGTATTCTGGATCAAGATATCCAAAACTGCCTTTTACACCAGTACTTACATGAGTCTCATCCAGACATGGGCCTGAACGTGAAAGACCAAAGTCAGCAACCTTGGATACGTAATTTTCATCAAGCAAAATATTTGTAGACTTGATGTCACGATGGATAATGCCTTGAGCAGAACCTGTATGCAGGTAGTGAAGTCCCCTCGCAGCACCAATGCAAATTTCAAGCCTTCGCTTCCAGGACAGACGAGAACATCCTGGACCATACAAATGTTTCTTCAAAGGCCCCTTTTCCATGTACTCATAGACAAGGATCATTTCTGACTGTTCTTCACAATACCCAATGAGGGAAACAAGATGGCGGTGGCGTATCTTCGACAAAACTGCTATTTCAGATTGAAATTCTGGGAGTCCTTGCCTAGACCCTGGCACACCCCTCTTTACAGCAATCTTTGTGCTGTCTTTAAGAACACCTTTGAAAACCATACCAAATCCACCCGAACCAATTATCAGACTGTTGTCGAAATTGTTGGTTGCCACCTGGACGTCGGCAAAAGGAATCTTCAAGTTGCGATATTCATTAACAGTCACTTCTGACATTCTACTATGAGTACTACCTCCATATACACCTAAAGGTGTCCAAGCTGCACTTTCTACTCGTCTTGGTTTCAATTTCTTCTTCTTGCATTTACAAGAAAGTATAACTGCAAAGACAATCACACACAGAACAGCAAAGCCTCCGATGCTTGAACCCACCGCAATCCAAACAGTTCCCTTCTTGGAACCACTTTGTGAACGAGAAGGATTTACCATCTTCATGATCTCCACTCCATTCAAAATAGCATTGACTTTTGAAGAACTACTGATAGCCGAAGGTCCAACACTAACACGCACAGCCCCTAAATCATTTGAATCCACAATATAATCTACATACATTGGAGATGAAAGGACATGGAATGTAAGGGATGACAAATCCAAATCATTGTCCGCAGAGTACTCGTTTAGGTACACATCAAAGTACAACTGATTAAGTGAAGTACTGACAATATCACAGAAATGTAATCGAACCAAGTGCCGAACCCCACCAGAACCCACAGGAAAATTCCATGTGATGTTAAATCTTGATTGCAATTGGTTATTATCCCTATTCATCTGCTGTGCAGTCATATACACATTTTCTGGCGCAATCTCTCTACTAGCACCCCCACTCTGATAATTAGGAACCTGAGTAGTAACTGCAAGTTTCGCAGCAGATTTCAAGACAAGAAAATCCTCATCAGGAATCCAAGTTCTCCACAAAGTATCATTAAAAGGCACCAATTTTGAGCCTCCAACATTAATCCTATGAACTGTCTCTAAAACATGTGAAGAAAGATTCTTGTACACTTCAATTCCATTTTTACCAACCAATTTAGCTCCCTCATCAAGAATAAAATCCTTAGGGGCAGAAAACACTTCAATTGCATTCACAAATCCAAATCTTGAGTCGCCAACAGAACTAAACAAAATTTCAAGATCATAGTCATCCACTCTCAATATATACTCTTTAAGCACAACAACTTTGGTACTAAAATCCCTCAATAACAAATTCCCATTAGCAAAAACACTAAACTTTGCAGTTGTTAAATCAAAGCCTTGAGCTTTAAATGGAGAGAAATGAAAACGTACCAAGTGAGTCCCATTTCTCTTAACACTGAACTTGTAGCTTGAAGCAGCAGTGAAAACTCTAGCTGTGTTGTATAAAGTTGGTGAATTTGGAGATGGGTTTTGGTTCTTTAGTGAAATGGACTGGCCTTTTGAGAGAAAGATCGAACCTTGTTTAGTGGAATCAGCTACAAAAATTCTGCTATCTGTAGGAGTGAAGGAGGTGTTGGTGTTTGAGCCACAGTTGATGAGGTAGTTGTCCGTGGGAGTGAAAGAGGAGGAGAAAGAGAAGAGAGAGAGCAGTGTTAGGGAGAGCAAGACAACTGTTTTGGTTTCCATTGAAGGAGGTCTTTTGAGGTTCATCAAGAGAAATAAAAGGAAGAGCTTCTAAGACATGAAGACTAGTACATGATGATGGCAAGTGTAGAAGATATATTTGCTTTTGTAAGAACGCAGTTACTTGAAATTTGACTTTTGGATTGAGCTTTGAAGAACTATGTCACACACTATTTATTTTCATATATATATATATTTGCTTTTGTAAGAACACCGTTACTTGAAATTTGACTTTTGGTTTGAGCTTTGAAGAACTATGTCACACACTATTTATTTTCATATATATATCAGAAAATCTAACTTTGTATCTAAAATTATTAAAATTGAATCTTATTAAATTGAAGGAAAGGAAGTTACTGAATACATAATCTCAAATTCTGCTTGTAGCATAACATGAAATGATGGAACGAGGCATGTCTAGAGTATTTGTTTGGCATCAGAGAGACTAATCTTGGACATGAAGGTACAACTTCAAAGATGATTTTGGTGCATCTATCTAAAATTCAACACTTTCTGATCCTTTCCCACTGGTGCAAAATGTTCCTATCACATTTGCAGAAAGTGGGGCAAGAATGGAGTTAGGTTAGTTTCCATTATGGAAGGTATAATCAAGCATGGACCAGCAGCTAGTAATGGAAGTCTTGAAACCCACTGAATTATTTTGCAGCCTTGCTTTGTTAAATTAGATTGGGAAACGAATCAATGAGCTCATTTTGGTAGTTGCAAGCCATGTGCTTATGACTTAACCCTACATTCTCTATTGAAAAAAAGAAGGGCTATGACCTACACACTTTCTATGGCTATTGGGCTAATGATGCTACGCAAATTTTCAATTCCACAGTCTAAACATTTGTTGCAACACAACTAAGAATTTGACAGCATTTAATAATCCATCAAAAAGTAATTTTAATCTAACTACAAATTCGTAACCCACTAAAAAGCAAACGTTGATTTGTAAATTAGATTTAGAGTTTTATATTTATCATCGATATTTTTTAAAATTCATCTTCAAAATACCAAAGACTATATGTTAAAAAATATTTTTTAATTACACCTAGAGAGATTTCTACTTTTATAATTAAAATTCTTGAGAATATATTTTCAGAATACTTTAGATTATGTGCTATGAAGTGCATTTTAATTACATTTAGAGAAAGAGATTAGTTTTAAAATAAATTAAAATTGATCTGAAAATATCTTATTGCTGAATTTTTTTTTTAAAAAAAATCGTTCTTAATCCACTAGCTAGCAATGATTGTTATGCACTTATGATTTGTGCCTATTTTTGTAGTCCACTACCTTCACAAAGTGGATGACAGATTTTCATCCATTCCCTCAGTATTCCTATATATTATACAGAATAATTTAGAAAAGCCCTAATTCTCAGATCACAGCACTAATGGGCAAGTTGACAAATAGAATTTTTCCAAGTGCTAATCATCCATCTGAGCCAAAGTCCAAACCCTAGGTTTCTTCCAAGCCATACACCTAAGCTATAAATTTGAAGTTGGGTCAGAGAAAGATGTAGTTGTCAAAGAAGACACAGAATTTCTTCAATTTACGAGAGTTAACACAACATGTTTGTCCAAAACACCCTTTGACAAAACGGTGCCATGCAATCAATTGTCTTTTCCTTATAGTCTTGAACTCTTGATAGCTTTTGCCTCTTCATGCTCCTAAAACTCATAGGTGTACATTACATTAGAAAAATTTTATGGTAATTCAGAAGTAATAATCAATACTTTTTTCGTACGAGATAAATAGATTAGAAAAAAAAATTAAAAAAGTAATAATTTAATCTAAATAAACATATTTTTATTATTTTTAATGAGTTCGATGTAATTTTTTCTTTCTATTTTTGTATTTATTAGTTTTTTTTATGAGCGTTGCTTTATGAATCAAAAGAACATATAAAATTATTCTAATTTGATGTCTCATGTTATATTATGTATCTATCAAAATATATCAAATCAAAATTGAGTAAAAATTTATTCAATTTTATGATTTTTTTTGAATATTTTAAAATATATCTATATTAATATAGTCAAGTAGACAGATGGATGGTGCACCGTCATAGTGGGGCAATTTTTTTTTAAAATTTTCTTGGCTTGGTGGATGTCATTTTCATGAATGGATTTTATGAATGAGCTGTAACCTTAGATCATGACACCATGAATTTTACCTCAGTGAAGTACACCTGCCGTTTTCAATATATTTGAAAAAAATGCAAGTATATCAAACGAAATTGACTTCAAGAACGGTGGTCGAATAAGATAATTACGTTGTAAATATATTAATTTATAATATTTTTTAATCGAATTCATTGATTTTTATTTTAATATTAAATTTTTTTATTTTAATCATTGAATTAATAAAATTCAAAAATATTTTTTTCGAATCAAATGTTTTACAAATAGTTATGGATTATGTCATGTTAATTTCATACTTGTTTGATTAGCAGCTAGGTGGCTTTCATTGGACCAGAAAGAACTAGGTGGGCTGCATTTGGTGGATCTGATTAGGTGGGCTTGGCTAGAGTATTTGGTCTCATGAGGCACTCACAGAAGGATGAAATCATTACCTCTGGAGTAAATTATACATAAAGTAGTCCCTTTAGTTTTATACATATATTTATTAGTCCTTATATTTCAAAAATCAATTATTTAGCCATTCCTGTCAATTTTATGTTTTTTTTTTTTCTAATTTGTTTTATTTTTTATTTTAAAAAACAGAAAAGGAAAAGAATAAATAGATATTACCGAAAGAAAGATAAGAATTTTTTTAAAAATAAAATAATATTAAATTAAAATTGATTGGCATTGATTAAAGAATTAATTCTTTACATATTGGTTTTCATTAAAAAAAAAAAAAAAGAAGAAGGGAAAAACTCACTCGGCATCGCTTTTAGCTACTAAAATAAAACTGAAGCAAGAAATCTACTTCTCAGCATCAGTGATGATCAAAATCAACTGCAAAATCAATTCCAATTGAATTCCTTGTCACTGTAAGTAATCAAAATCAAATCTTTCCTCGATTTCAACTGAATTCCCAATTTCCATTTTCTAGGGTTTTCCTTTAGAAACCCTATTCTAATTTTCCCAATCTAATAAATAAATCAATATAATTTCATTTTTAACACATAATTCAGCAGAAAGCCATTTTGGGTTTCTTTTTTTAGGCATAAATTTCATTGCTTTATACTGATTAGGATTGAAAATGCATACTCAATAGTTAATGTTGGGCTTTGGTGTTTGGTGCTTGCTTGACTGTAATGCAGGTTTTTGGCTGCTGTAAATCTCTTAAAGTTCCTTGCTTGAAACCCATTATGGTAAAGGAATTCACTTTTCAATGATTACTCGTTATTTTTATTATCTTATGTGTTTGTTGCTTTGTGTTTTTTAAAGATTTGCAAGTGTTTTTTTTTTTTGTCAAATTGATGCTACTTAGGTTAGTCGCAGCAGTTCCACTGATCATGTTGATTGAACTTGGATACTAATTTGTATCTGATGTGGTGTGTGTTCGCCAAGCATATCAGCGTCAGAGTTAGTTATTTTTCATTATCTACTGTGATTTGACGTGTTCAAGCGGTGCTGCCCAGTTCGAGTATCGAGTATCTAGTATCTACACGGGTGTTCCATGGTACAGTGAATAGCTTAAGTGATACAGAGAACATTAGTTAGGTTGTTTGAGACCATGTGGTTGGAAAACTAACCTTGGCTGGTTTATGCTTGGGCCTGGATGAGTTAATTGGAACTTGAATGAGAGTATTTAATTGTGTAAACGGAAGTTTTGATGTAGTTATCTAACTCTAAATGTTTTGAAAATCAGTTCCTGCTTATGTGTTTTGGAGATTTGCTAGTTTGTTATCAAATTAATGTTGCATAGGCTATTGTTTGTCGTTATCAAAGTAAAATTGGCTTGCTTTTAATCTTGAGAAAAATAAATCAAACATGAGTAAACAGTCATGCAGAAATGCTAGAAGAGAGCATGTTGCTTGGACTTGTAGATTGTATCTGACACAGGTTCATGTTCGACATGCATACCTGTGTTGGAATCAGCCGTTATACAGAATTTCTTAAATTTTTTTCATCGATATTAAGTGTTTTAAATGTCAGCTTCCATGTCTAGCTATTTGACACGTGTTTTCTAGGGTTAAATAGTAACATATGCAACATTGGGTGACTTGTGGATGCCAAAGCTATCTTTGGCTGGTTCACAAGTGAGAACAGGCCCAGTTTTTTGAAGACTTTGTCTCAGGCATTTTACTAGGGAATCAGAGGTTTTGATATAGTTAACAAGGTCTGGCAAAATGGGTTTCTGACTAGTATCTCGACATGTCTAGTTTGACTTGGTCCTCATATTCAATATTCAAGATGCTCTGCATTTTTCTGGGAAACTTTATAACATCGAGGAAGGCTGAATTCAAGTGCATTCTCAGCGTGCGTTTTATTTCTTGCATGATGCATAATGGGATAGTGGTGTTTTATTTCTGGGTGTGATAATTGGATGCAGGATCCTAATTTTTCTTTTGATGAGAAGGCTGAAAGTAGACTTTATGTCGGTAACCTTGACTTGAGAATAACAGAGTAAGTTAATGTATGAATGCTGAATTCTTATTTATTGTATTTTATTTTTTTGCAAAAGTGTCGATGTAAATTCATATGTTCTGGTTTTGCTGTTTCATTTACCCCTGCATCTTCTTCAGGGCTGCTCTGATTAAGATGTTTTCTCCCTATGGCAAGATTTTATTTGAGGACTTCCTATGGCACACTCGTGGGCCGAAACGTGGAGAGCCACGGGGCTTTGCTTTTATTCAGTTTAGCACCAAAGAGGTATGCTGTATGCTTCTTTTGCTTTTGCATTTAGGCAAATTCTTGATTTCCATATGTAAAGTGAGTATGCAGGAAGCTAAATTGGCCAAGGAAAAGATGCACGGAAGGCTAGCTTGTGGACGTCCTTTGGTTGTTCGTCTTGCCAGTGAGAAATACTTGGAGGAGTCGGCACAAGATTCTTCCAGAGCACCAGGGGAGGCGAAGAAAACGGGCCTTACTGGTAGCACTTTAGGGCAGACGAGTCGTAGTGCCAAGATTGCAGCAATAAAGAACAAATTGAGAGCCTTGGAAGAAGAGGGCCCTAGTGTGAAAAAGCAGAAGCAAGTTGACGGTGACTCTTGCAAGGACAGTCTTGATCACTCACAAGGCAAGGGATAGGTACTGAAGACAACTTTGAAAACTTAAATGGAAACCAATACTCAGTATGATTTTAGCATTAGGATTATTTTGATACATAGCAGCATGAGAACATCATCTGCTGTGGGTTTCGATGTCATGCCTTTTGTGTGCATTACCTTCCAGCTTAGTGTCGAAATTGTGTTGGTAACAATTCTAGGACAATGAAAATTGATTGTATTACATAGATTCTCTTGCACCCTTGAAATGAAAATATTTGGACTTGAGATTTGGATAAAACAGAGAAATCCACCAACTTGATACTATTGGGGAAAAGAGAGAGAGACAGAAAACTTAAATTATTCAATCGAATTTATAAGCAGTTAAATGAAGTTTTATAATGCTGTCTGTTACTTGTTTTTTTTAATAGAGATGATGCTTATCTTGAGAATTGAATGGTAGTTTTGTTGTCTTTTTTATTATATTTTCTTATAGAACCGTCATCATTTTGAGATGTAATTTTTTTTTTATACCAAAAATTTAAAAATGGTGTTGTTTACTTGTTTTATTATAACTCATTTCCGTACATGCCTTTTGGAGACTGGCATGATTTATTCTATAGTCAAATGGTTCTATAGTACTCTTGAATTTTCAGTCAGACGAAAAAAAATTTTCAACTTTTAATTTTTTCAATTTTAGTCCCAAAAATAGAGAGAGAGAGAGAGAGGGAAGGAGGACCTCTTTGATGGTTTGTCAAAAATCCAAAAAGAAACAACTGGTGGGCTGGTGGCAGTAAAATAGATATGATATCAAATGCAATCTACATTTTCCAAGTTCAGTACTTGGGAGCTATACAGAAAAACATATTTCAACGCCATACACCCTTCCAAGTAGACAACAACTTAAAACAGATATTGCCTGACGATATTTTGTTCCATTAGCAAGAAAGCTGTGATTTGCGTGGTATGACAGAATCGCAAACAGAAATGTTGATGAGCTGAAGTATCGATATGATGTGCCAATCGAGTGTTTATGATACAAATACCATGAACGAGGGAGGAGGACAAATTAAGCAGGCTTCTCATAGGAATTCTGCTCTCTGAAGTCTGCGATTGCACTTCGTATCATTTCAGACACATGGGATTGGACAAACATGTGAGTGCTGTCCAAAACATGAATGATGAACTTCTGCGATGCCGGTAGCGAGGCATTCAAATTGATGATGAATTGTGCCATAGGAATGTCACTACAATATAAACAAGAGTCCCTCAGTAACAAATTAAGGGCCAGGCAAGGTGAAACTAAACAAAAGCCTCTGCCAGAAGCATGAAATATAAGCAAATCCAAATGGCCATTCCATTACAAGCAATGAACGCCTTCAATTGTCACATTGATGACAATCACATACCAGCCCATGAATGAATGGCTAGAGATGCATTCACCACTAACAGTTCCTCAATTTCCTCGGCTGAAAAAAGTTTTAAGCTAATGAGATATTTACCAGGATATGAACAACCCTTTAGTGGCATTCACCATCTCTATAGGAGTCTGAAATGCAAGAAAACCTATAACAAGACTAGTTATAGAGATCTGAAAGTTAGCACATTTTCTGGAGTCAATATACAATAAACAAATAGAACATCAGACTAAGACGGAAGAACCAAATTATAAGTAACTTCCAGAACAACAAAAAGAATCTTATTGTTGGTTTCTACAGAAACCCATGAACCAAAAAAAATATTTCCAAAGAATAGCTTCACCATCGGAGAGAAAACAATTGAACAACAGAGATTTCACATTCAATTATATGAGAAAGCCACATGTTCAAGTGATTTGGTCTTTTTTCGGTGCTATCAGAACTAAACCGGACAGTGAACCACCAAAGGTGCTGTTTCATCAGCGGTTCACTGCTGGTTCAATGTACCTACATCGAATTTTTCCAGCAACTGATACCTGAATTTGCAATAGTTAAATAAGTCTTCAACCAGTTAAATTTAAACAAGTCTTCAAACATCCGAATCTATAAATAAGTCTCCCACGCATCCAAATTTCTAAAATTCAAGCACAAAACATACACAAATAAGTTAAATAACGTAAGGTTTAATGAAAGATGACAATTTCAAATAAAAATCTTAATATCCTAACCCTTAAAATCCCAGATCTAAAAAACCTATTTTAGCTCAAAAAAATTCAAACTTTACATCACAAACAATACAAAAACAGATAATTGATCAACAAGCAGTCTCTACAATCTCCAAAAGCCAAAAACACAAACATACATATGTTTGGAGGAGCCTGGAGCTTGGAGGGTGACTTATCTGAAACTGAAAGAGAGTGAGGGTTCAGGAAGGAGAGGCTTGAGGAGCGACGAGCGACGGCTGGATGAGGCCTGAAGGCTGAAGCAGAGCTTGGAGGAGGGCGACGTGTCTTTAAAGTTTTCTTGATGTTTCAACTGTTTAACACACACGTATATTAAAAAAATTAATTAATTAAATTTCGGTTTAAACCGAATTAAAAATTTCAAAAAATAAATCAAAATAAATTCAGTTCTTTTTTTTTTTTCCAATAATTTTAATGTCAAAACCGAACCAAAATTAATTTTTTTTTGCTTATTATGTAATATTGTGAGTGAGATTGCTTAATATTTTTAATGATCATTTATTTTGTTTTTAAAATGACTATTATAAGGAACATAACATAAATACACTATTTTAATCATGAGATCAAAACAAATTATTTGAAAAAGTTTTTGTTATTTATAAAACTAAATTTTATGAACAGTAACTAAAAAAAAACCAAATAATAATTTTTTTTTTTTTGAGTAAATAGTCATTTTATAGTTTTGTCAAGATTCACATAAACTTCTTTTAGTGTCTTTTAAAGTGCAATAAAAATACAGTATGTCCATTAAAATTAACTTAGGAAATGATTTCATAGTCAAGCCCAAGGATAAGTGCTTTGGAGAAAGGTCCTTTACAGGGTGAATTCTTCAAGTTTCAAACCGGGATGAATTAGCAGACTTTACCTCTCTAGCTCAAATTCAATCCCTGAAATTATATTTCTCGGCCGAACCTTGCTTTGGGAGAGCTGATCCTTTTCTTCCCCCACAAAATTTTAGCCCTTTTTGCCACCACATATCATACTAGTCCTGTTCATGATCATGATAAGTTAATTGTCCAATGCATTAGATGCAGCACTTCAGAAATAATTTTACCCTCTCTATAATCATGCTTCTCCCACAAGGAAAATCAACAAATCAATCATGCTGATGATGTTGTTTGAAAGTTCAATCTATGCAAATTAGCCAGAAAAAAGAAGGATGGAATGAGAAGCTACGTGAGTTTTCATATCGAGACGATGAACTGCTGCTGCTGCTGTTCACATAATCAAACAGATGTTCACATAATCGAACAGATGGTCTTACTCGAGAGAATAACCAAAAGAAATTACATTACCCATTTAACAGTAGTTGGATTTTCTGTATCCAAGCACAACCACTAACTAATTGAAAATAAGAAATCATCTAATGCCATCCCTATATATAATCCTCAACTTTGTAAACATTGTCCATTCCATCTTCAACTGAATCATGATTAATCTCTTTAAATTTCCTGCCAAGGACACCACAATTGGAATTTCCTGCCTGTTGAGATGAAAAATCTGAAGAGATCCCCCTTTGCAACCACGCCAGTTCTGTAAGAGTCGGTGCAGATGAAAAATACATAAAATAAACAAGATCAGAAAATGACAAACAAAACAATTTTCAATGTTTCTTGAATATTTTTTCAGCTGAGGAACTTCTTTTTACTTATTTGCAGTTGTTAGGTTACAGATACAAACCTGTGCTCCAGCACTAGTTGAACTGAAACTCATGAGGATTCATCATAGAGTTTCTTGACCATGAGCAGCTCCAAAGTGATACTCACATGGCTCGGCATACCAATCATGCTAAAGGAAAGCTTACTAATAGACTCCAGCAACAATGCCCATGCCTTGAAATCTTAGCCTTGGCAGGAAGATACTTCAGTAATTATTCATGCCAATACAGTTTTCCATCAGGCAGCAAGTAGATGCCAATCAGCTCTAGAACGAGGCTCATGAAAAAACAACTTAGACTGCTGCAAGTTTATGCCTGACAATTCAATAGCATTGCATTCAAGAGAGCGATTTTTGGAAAATTTTATCCACCACTGTGACCTAATGTAATACGCTAAAAAGAATCAGTTGATGCAAAAACACGATAATAATATCAATACATGATGAAATACTAGAAAGCAACCTAACAGGAACATTCAGGAGACCAGATGGAGATGGATGACGAGTTATTGCTGCAAGTCATACCAGAAGATCTTGAAGCAATGAATTTGCACCAGAAGAAGCTATTCATGCTGCACCAAAACAAAAGTTAATCGACCAAATCCTCTTCAATTCTGGTATGTATTATAGATTCTAAATTTGACTTACAACAACTTATCATCATTGAATGTGCAAAGCATAACAGAATTAACACTTAACATAAACCATGAAAAGTAGAACAGGGCAATCAAGCACATTGTGTGAAATTGCAAGTACACGCAGATCATTAACTTGCCATGTACTGACCTTCCTGATAAAAAAAAAAGCATACGAATAAGAAAATTGTAGCGAAACTGACACCCGTCATAAGATTTTCAAGAAGCCCTCTAATCTGTGTTTCCAACATAACAGAGGATTTGTTGAACTATAAATAATATGAATCATACCTTACCATAATTGAATATTCAAACCATAGAACGGGAAAATCATTTATAAAGATTTATGAAGTCATAAAAACAAAGAACAGGGCAATCATAATTAAATGGCAAGCAAGAGAAAACAAGGTCAGCTAAATTGTAGTACGTATAATAGACTATAACATTTTAAATTACAACTTATCATCATTGATGACGCAAACCAGAACAAATGTATCATTTATACAGATCATGAAAAGCAGAAGTAGAACAAATCAGACAGCTTTATCTGGAAATTGGTACACTCACATCATGAACTTTCCATGTAATAATTTCACGGAGAAGAAACGTATGAGAAAGAAAATTACCGAGGAAATGACATCACGAATCATATTCCAAAAATTCAATCACTCTAATTTTCAAATCACCAGGATCCTTGGATTAATTTCAGGTTGATTTTGATGTTAGGGATGTGAGCTATCCTAGGCCAGTCCTCTCCCCTCTCTCTCTCACACCTCTTTTCCAGATCCGGGCATGATCTAATGTACAACTCTTTCAGTGTATTAAGACTCTGTATCCCGTCCGGCAAAGACATCAAATTAGGGCAATACTCAATCCTCAAGCGTGAAAGGGACGTGAGGTGTTGGATACTCTCTGGCAGTGTACTCAACTCTGGACATTTAGAAAGACGCAAATGCTCCAGTGCCGTCAGATAGCGAACTCCCTCAGATAGAGAGGCAAATTTAGCACACGATGAAACAGATAAGTTACGAAGAGAAGATAAGCCACACAATCCATTGGTTGGCAGAGAATTTAATCGATCGCATTTCCATATATTCAATGTCTCCAAAGAATTGAGATTCTGGAGACCTTCTTCCGGCAAGCTTTCAAGTTCATCACAAATGCTAATATCTAAGGCTTTAAGAGAATATAGGTTATCTAATTTCTGATTTGACAATGACTGGAGATTTTCAAGACCACAAATTGTTAAGTGCTGAAGGAGTGTAAGGTTTTGCAACCACGCATCGGGCAGAAGCTTTAAATTGGGAATGGATGAAATATGAAGGGTGGTGAGCCTGGGGGAATATTTGAAATTCGTCAACAACGTGGCATTGACTTGGTGAAGGAATAAGTACTTGAGGGAGGGTATAATTGGCATTTCAACAAACATGGGGCAATCCTCCACGATCAATGAGTCAAGGACAGGAAAACTCTCTCTTTCAGTAACAGCTGCCCATACCTTTAAGTTCTTCATTGATCTAAGGCGCAGAGTCTCCAGTGATGGGAATGGATTTTCCCCATCTCCATACACATCACTCCCAATACACTTCACCCCATCCATTCCCCTTAAGGAAAGACACTTAAGGAACTGTAGTTTCCCAAATGGTGGAAGTTGTTCACAATTGTCACACCCTTCTAGAGAGATTCCCACTAGATTTGGTACCAGCAAGTTGAAGTTCATCATCCAATTTGGAAATTCTGAACCTCCATATCCAATTATACTCAGCTTCTTCAGATTTGGATGGGGTCGAAGGCCATCGAGGACCCCTTCAATGTTTTCCGGGATAACACTGGCATAACCATAGTATCCTCCATTCCCATACCAAGACAAACTCAGTGATTGAAGATTTGCCTTCTGCATCAAATTGGCACTCTTGGCATCTGTTAAATCTTTCACATTACCAATATTGCTTACCCTCAATTCGTCGCCTAGATAATTCAACCTCCCCAGCTCCTGTATACGATGACCATTTTCTTCACCCACGATGAACAAGGTAAGCTTTCGCAGGCAAGTCAATTGTCCCATTCCAGCAGCCATGCAACGAAGTGCAGAACAACCTCTGAGGTCAAGATACATGAGATCTTTCATGTGCTTCATACCTTTCGGTAACTTGCGCAGATTCCAGCAGTTTCTCAAATTCAGAGTTTGCAAGTTTTGGAGGGAGGTGATTGATTCAGGTAGTGTCTTGATGGAGGAGCCGGAGACATCAAGATACCTTAGCTGTTTCAACCTACAAACGGACTGGGACACTTTCTTAACATCATGAAAACCACTTATATCCAAGACTCTTAGATGCTTTTGTTTAGAGAGGCACAAGTCAAGAATTTCACTCCCCCTTCCATAGCTACCATAATCTGCATGCAGAAAAAATGATCGCAATGATTGGACATCGAGACATTTATGATCAGAAGAAAAAGCACCATATGCATTCCAAAAACCCACATGACGAACTGTTTTGGAAATGCCCACCTTGCTATTGCTCTCGACCGAACAACATTCATGTTTCATAATTAATTGTGCAAGATCATGTATAAGATCATGCATCTTACATGTTATGTTGCCTCCTTCATCCTCCTCAACCTCTTGGAAAAATGATCTGCCAACTAATTCACTAAAAATCTCCTGGCCCTTGTCATGTAAATCCATTTGCCCTTTGCAAGAAATGAAGCCATTTCCCATCCACACAGCTATCAGCCAGTCCTTCTTGATGACGTGATCTTTGGGGAATATAGAGCAAAATGCAAAGCATTGCTTCAAATGTCGTGGAAGATGAGTATAACTTAACCTCAAAGCAGGCAATATCTCTTCCTCCTCTACTTGTAAATCCCAAACCTCACTCTCTTTGATAGATAACCACTCCCTTTCTGTGTTCTTCAGGCACATCAGCTTTCCAAGTGCCTTTATAGCTAAAGGAACCCCACCGCACTTGTTAACTATTGCTCTCCCAATTGCCTCCAAGTCTACATAATCTTCTCTCCTTTTCATCCCAAATGCAAATCTCTTGAACAAAAGCCAAGAATCATCATCGGATAACCTTTCCATGCGCTGAAGTGAAATTGGTTCCAGATGAAGAGCGACCGTCTCAATACGGGTAGTTATCAGAATAGCACTACCTTTAGCTCCACACCTTAGCAACTCCTTCAGACTACTACAATTGTCATCCCACACATCGTCCAATACAAGCAGAAACTTCTTTCCTCTTAACTTTTCGTGGAGACGTTGCTGCAAGGTATCCAACTCTTTAACATCACAAGTGCTCTTTTCAATAGATTCTATCATGGCTCTTACCAATCTTCTTATAGCAGAATCATCAGAGACACATACCCATATTGTCAAATCAAAATGCTCTTTTACCCTTGCTTCATTGTAGATCAATTGAGCAAGCGTTGTTTTACCAAGGCCCCCCATCCCACATATAGCATAAACAGAGAGATCACCTGAATTGTTAACCAGCGAATTGATTAGCTCTTCTTTCTGCTTCTTTCTTCCATAAATTTCTGATTCATTCACCCGAGAGCAGGTCTGACGCCAATCAAAACTATCTGCTACGATGTCCCCAGCTCCTTCTGTTAGGTGGAAGTTTCTCTCCTTGACAATGGCTTCTAATTTTTCTCTTATATTCTTCATTCTACGTGCCATTTTTACTCGAAAGAAGATTGGTTTCCTATTCTTAGGGAAGAAAGACCTTACTTGGCTTTTAAGATCTCCTTGCTGTCCTCGTCTTTGAACTTCAAATTCGAACTCATCAAGCACATCCTCTGCATCATAAGCTGCATCCTTGAGCTTCCTGAGCCAATTCTTCACAGCATCACTCTTCCATTGTTTTTTCTCTGCATCGTGAAGGACAGCTTGAATCGTAGTCAGTGTGCTTCCGAGATTCTCAAGATCAGATTTTAGGCCCGAAGCAAGTCCAACCTCTTCAAATGCTCGTGAAGTGAGCTTCTCCAAGATTGGACCCACAAGAGCAGAAACAAGTGCATCAGCCATTGCTCGCTTGCCTAAGAACAAATCGAACCTTTGTAGCAAGAAACTAAAAACCAGCAGCGAAACTTAATGGTAGCTGGGAAGTCTGGAAGAGATGGTAATTAAGGAGAACAAGGATTAAAGCATATAGAAGAAACTAATGAAGCTTCTTTTGTGACAAGAGGACATATTCTTCCACGGCTGGCTCCACACGGTGTTATCCAACCTATTCCCTTTCAAGATTGGGCTCCACACGGTGTTAACTGGCGTGATGAAAAATTTTGCTTTTCTTGTCTTTTTCCTTTGTATTTTCTTCCTTGCTATTTAATGCTAGTGAATGTTTTACTTTTGTGACAAGAGGACATATGATTATAATTATAAAAAATACTAAAATAAAATAATATTTTACTATTAATAAT